TGTGTACTTTTTTTGATTTGTGTAATGTCTGCATAATGAGTTCTTTAATTTACTTTAAGTATACTTGTAGGCTATGCTAATACTTTTGTACTTTTACTTCAGTAACTTTTGGATTGCATGACTTTTACTTGTAAGCGAGTAGTCCTACACTCTAGTACTTCTACTTTTACTTAAGTACAAGATCTGAGTACTTCTCCCACCTCTGCCTAGTTGTGTAGATGTCAACTTAAAGTGTGGGCCTATACAACAGTGTATTGTTATTATATGGCACATTATAAACATTTTGACTTCCACACATTCACTACCAGACGGCACCACACGACTGCAGCATCAGAACACTGTGTGTGTGTACAGCTGCAGTCTGTGCATAGGACTCACTGAACAGTGGGATCATGTGCACTTATCTATCATTATTTCATTTAAATCAACAAGGTGAATTCTTAATGCAGAGTCAAAGGAGTATCTTACATTTCTTGTCTGGTGCTATGTAGGAACGGTCTGTGACTGAAAAGGCAGTTCACCCCATGAACAAACAAAAACAAACATGTTCCTCTAACCGACATTTATCAATTTAGATTTATTATATTTGTGTTAGTTGCAGAGGTTAAGAATATCCGCTGTATAGATGTCTGACTTCTCTCAAATATGATGGAGATATATGGTGCCTGGCCTGTGGTGCTCAAACCTCCAAAAATACATTTGAAAAGGTCAACATGAGTTCCAGAAATCATGTTTAAATTATTCAAAACTATCCACAAATTAGCATTTTCATGTTGGAGCCATTAACACTTACACTTGACTGCTCGAACTTATCCCACGTTATTTTCCCTTGAATCCATTTAAGACGTGGAAAAACATCTTAACATCAAAAGTAAAGTTACAATTACAATCTTTAGAGTGGTTTGCAAGGGCCCACAGGTATGAAATAAGATTGATAATAAAACTATAAAAATGTCAGTTCTTCAAAAAGAGCTTATGGCAGTGTTGTTTTTAAAATATGCCGGAGTTAAAATATACTTAACTTAAATTGTCATACACTGAAATGCAATTAATTTGAACCATTATTCTTTCTTTGTTGTATATTTAACATATCTTACCTTTTATTTATTTTAAATGCTCAGACGTATTAAACAAATGTTGTGGGATCATTTAGTTAGGGTAGATTAGTTTAAGATTTAAGGTATTCTGTAAGTGTTTTTTCATCTTATAATCACGATCTCCAATTCTAGATGTGTTAGTAACATATATTTTTCTGTCTAGTGTCTTGTACCTTATTCTCAAGCTTTGGATATTTTGTTGGGGTGTCCCATTATGTCTTATTATTGTACTTAATTGAAATGAGATTCTCAAAGACTTAGAATAAGCAACCATTTGGGCACAATCACTTTCATTTTAACTACTAAATAAAGTGGATTTTACAATCTGAAGTAATGATTTGGTTCCAACTTGTCTCATCATCTTACTTCTCGGGTGTCTTGACCTTTTAGACAAAACTATGTAAATAAGCCCCATCTTTTCATCTTCTGGAACAAACCTTAAGTATCCTCTTTGAAATATTCTGTCAGCTTCACTAAATCAATGAAGCAGCAGTCCCTCATTTCTCATCCCTGGCAGTTTAATGTGCCCCCCCCCCCCAGCATTCAGAGACAGTGTGGTTGGATCAGCGGGGCCCCTCCATGGGGCCGGGCTGCCTTCAGTGAGTCCAGGTGTGTGTAAGGCAGAGATTAGACCTGCCACAGATAAGATAAAGCTTTATACTGGGCTGACTGACAGGATCCTTCAGCACAAGTCATTGGACTGGAAATGCTGGATAATGAATTGCCACACTACCACTATACCCTGGTGTCCACATGGGATCAAAACATTTCGAAATAAATCTGTGTGTATTTGTATGTGGGTGTCTTTGCTCTGATCGGATCAAATTAGGGTGTCCTTATGTAAGGACACCCTAATCCTGTTTTACCCTTACATAAAAACATATACAGTACATTTGTACATAATGTACTAAAACATATGATTAGATCCAGTTTGAAAACTCTCATACTGTCTTTCCAAATGTTACTCCACCTCCCGATGGCCAACTGTATTTGAAGAAGCAGTGAAAAAGTGAGTTTTCCATAATGCTTCCCCCTTTAAATAAGCCAGAATTCAACAAAAACGCCTATTATTAAATAGACTATGAAGGAGGGTCCATTTGACAAGAGATCAATTAGCTACATTTTTCTGTTTTAGCCGAATAAAATAAGAGATTTTATTGTAGAGCATAAAATACTTGTGTCTGGGGGTCAGAAATAAACAACTCACAGTTATCAATCTAAATATAGTTTGTAACAAACCGTTAGAGTGAAAGCTGTCCCCAAGGTGGATCATTCACATCAACATGGACACTGTTTTCTGAAAGAAATGTTTCTATTTAAAATCGAATTTTCAATGTTTTAAGCACAACAGACTTTCTTCTATTTACTTACATTGTATTCTTTGGAAAACCTTGACACATGAAACCAAAAATAGCCTATCTGAATGGAAAGATACAGCTAGCGGTGTGAGAAAATGTTTTTTTTTGGGGGGGAATTTGAGTAAACTAACACTATAAAAGTGAGGAAGAGAGGGATTAAGATACTTCGGAGGTATTTGCTTTATGTTTAGTTAACAGAGCAAATCTGTCTTCATTCCCCTCTCGACCTTTTGATTCCTCACACAGAGGGCTAATGTCACCGTAATTATGTGCTTTCTCCTGGTGCATAATCAGCCGCTTTTCATCATTATTTACTCTCACTCTGTGACTACTGTTTTTAAGATATCTACAGGATTTCCAGACCTTTCCTTTAATAGCATAGAAGTCAGCTGCCATCCATCAGGGTTGACCCACATCTGCAGCCCTGGGCCTCCGTCTGTCCTCCCTGCAGTCAGCTAATGGAGAGGAATGGACCGCTGCCACAGTCTTCACGTTACCTTAAACACTAAACTAGAGCATGGCTATCACATTGATAACAAACAGTGTAAGGGGTGAACAAACTAAACAAGACTTTGGTGATGCTGTCCAGCCCTAAAACCACCATACAACTGCACATGAGACTTTGTATACACGAAGAAAGTGGATTCAACTTAAACGTCTGTGTATTTCAATGTTTCTGTGGCTGCACTGTATACAAGCAATCTACAAATCATGCACATGCAACATTTTGGGAAACCAATCATGCTAAATGCTACAGGCCAACCCTTCAATATTACATCACCCGCCTCCACGATAAACAATGATCTTCATAATCTGATAGTGTCAAGGGAAACAGGGAGGACAATAGATAGAAATAACCTCATATCTCACTGCTTATGTGCTCCCTTTAAACTAAAAATGTCATAGCAAAATCCTGCCATAAATGTTACAAACAAAGTTATTAATGGAAAAACTGACCAAGTGCAGAGGGTTTGGCCCCTTACATGGCCCTTAGGAGCAGCGAGCATATCTTTTACATTGACCAGAACACATTATTTTGACAGACTGTGTCATATCTCTTTTAGCCAGATGTAAATTCGACTTATTTATGTCACGATACTGATGCTTTACATTCCGTGATAAGGTGTGTAATAGTCAGTACACATGGCAGTGATAATGTCATCATTCGTCCTCCGTATCAGCCCACCTCAGAGTCATCATCACACTTGCTTTTATTAGCAATAACCTGCGAAATGTGTTTGTGTGGGAGCTGCTGGCTGAAGTCTTCCTTCGTTTTATACCACTGATTCATCATTTCTCTTGCATTTTCAAACCTCCAAATAGAGAGTGATTGTTGTTTTGTTTTTAATAGTGTAAAATTGCAGATATACAATATATTCGGAAACATTCTCCATTCACGTGTTGAAGAAGTGAAGTGATCTGTAAAGCCTCACACTGCAAATGGAAATGGTATTCTTTTCATAGCATGCACTATGAATGGTATGCTCTATTCCCTGCTGTGGTTATTTCTAAAGGGAACCAAATGCTTCTGGAAATCCTTTCCTCTTTAAGAAGTAGAGGGATCCTGGCAGCTCAGCCTGTGTTTACAGTTCAAACATGTTGCCTTTATCAGCATATTATATAAGATCAGGATTTACAGATTTCTAAAATAGGGCTACCAGAGGAGCCTCAGAAATAAGCAATTATGAAGCTGGTTTATATTTAATCCAGAGTCACTAAATCACACCTGGACAGGAAAATGATCAACTTGACATTTTGTAAATGTAACACTTCAGGAAAGATCGAGGAGATTTGTTTTTGCAGGGGAACGAACAAGATTGTTTGCTAATTGAAATGTATTAAATGACTTTGAATAGTTAACCAGTGATGAGCACACATTTGAATGTCAGTCATGTGCAACTTGAGAGACATGCTGCCAAGAAAAAAGGTGACCCACCAAACTAAACTTCTATACAAATTTACATTGTATAGGCGATACCCTTATCAAAAAAGTTACTTTTTATATAAGGGGGGACCCTTATCAATTTTTTTTTTATAAAAAGGGGTAGTATAGTTTGACAGTACAATGTACATGTCATTTTCAAACACTATTGCTCATGAGTCATCTTCGTGGCAGACTAAAAACCCAATTTGTCACGTTAAAACTGACACACACACACATACATAGAACACAAAAGATTCATCTCAATTCAAACTAATGCGCAAGCACTTACAATGGCATAGCTTTAATAAGGGGAATGTGGATTTCTGCTGTTCCTTTTTGGTATCTTCATAGTTCTTAAAACTTATTTTAGGTCTCTTTGGATAAAATAATCAGTTGAGTGAAATGGGTTTTAGGGTAATTTGTTAAAAATAATCCCTGGATCTTTTGGAGGCTTGACTACCACAAGGTACATTGAAAAAAAGAGAAATATGCTGTAAATTAAAAAATGAAATGAGGCTATGACAATTAATTCTAGATGGAGGACACGCCCCCCGCTCTCCTCCGGTGTCACGCCGCTGTGGGAGGGCCGCCTCCCGGCCAGCCTGTAGCGGATGACGCGGGGCAGCACCGGGGCTCCAGGCAGCCCATCAGCTCTGCGGACCCCGGCTCTGACACACAGGTTCCCCTCCTCAGCTCTCCAAAGCATGCCATCTGAGCGATAGGCTGCTTCTGTACGGGAGAAGTCTTGTTTCTACCGCCGACATGAGTGAGATCAAGGTTGCTGTGCTGGGCAGTGAAGGGGTCGGGAAATCAGGTAGGAGAGCCGGGCAGCAGGTCACTGTGTTACCGTTTAACTGGTGACGCGGGGGAACTCGTGACGTTCTATAAAATACATATACACATTTCGATCGCTTCTTCTGTCGTTTACATTAATCTTTTGGTATATTTGGCTGGATAGGAACACTTTGATGCACATTCAGTACCAGTGTGTGAGGTTGTGTTTGCGATGCCGATATCCGGACGCGTACAGCGAGGACTACAAAATGACAATGAGGTGACTGGGGATGTCTGTTCAAACCATTGCACGTTTGAATAAATCATTTAAACCAGTTATTTTTGCCAGACTTATTACTGAATATCGTTCTTACTGTGATACCAAGTCCATCTGAGACCCGTGTACACCTTCAGACAGCCTCCAAGTGAAGCACACGTTGTTTACTCACAGTTTGAAAGCAGCGTGGAGAAGTCTTCAGCTGTGGAGCTGTGATCTAGTGATGGGAATTCCGGCTCTTCTTGGTGAGCCGGATCATTTGGCTCGGCTCACCAAGAAGAGCCGGCTCTTTCGGCTCCCAAACGGCTCTTCAGTTTACCACATATTATACCTTTTATAATTCAATCAAATGTAGCCCTGTTTTGACTAATGATTTATATGTGTACACATATCACTTAAATTATTCAATACATCCTTTGTACTGAAGTATTCAAAAGTAAAAATTACATGTTTAATATCAATTATTTGCTGTGGCCAATTGTTTTCATTGCATTTACAGACCCTTGTATCTATCTGATACCACCCAATGAATGCACAGACTTGCTTGTAGAACCACGCTACACAAAGCAGATAGCAACACCTATAAAAACTTAAGCATAGACATTTTAAAAAAGGGGCTACTGTATCGACATTTTAAAATTATATTTAAAGAAAAGGCCCTGACAAAACAGCAGGGCTCTATTTCAGTATTAACTATAGAAAAAAAGACAGCAACAGCTGACATCAAATCTTTGCTGAGCCCAAGGATAATCATAAATAAATAACATAGTGAAAATAAATATATTGCAATGCTCAGTACAGCAGCATCCAACCGTCTCTAATCATAAAAAAACATAATACAAATAAATGTATTGCAATGCTCAAAACAGCAGCATCCAACAGTCTCTAATCCTTGGATATTACATGCCACTGCATGCATGCACAGAGCAGCTGTAGCGCGGAGATCATCATATCATTCTGTCTTGTATTACTTAACAAAAAATAACAAAAACAAAAAAACGGCTCGTTCGCGGGCGCGAGCCGGCTCCCGTCGTTCACTTAAAAGAGCCGGCTCTTTGAGCCGGCTCGTTCGCGACCGACACATCACTACTGTGATCCGCCCAGTTTAACTTGTGACACGACTTCTGTTCTGTGGCTATCAACCAGCAATCATGTTTAATATTAAAGACTACACACATGTATCCCTTATCAAAACGGTATTCTGCACTTTGCAGCACTTATCCAGATAAGATGTGACTGTTTACTCGTTTTGCAAAGATAGCAGCAGAAATGTCATTGCTGCATGTGTAGGGATATTTAGACTGTAAAATGCTGCTTGGTCATTCATTTTGGTCTCCGCAAACAATATTATGAATCCTCTATTCAAACATATAATTCAGTGTCCATCGACATGAAAATAACTAAAAAGTTCATGCTGGACTCAAACCCGAGTCCCAACAGCTAAAATCACTCTAGTACTGCGCGTTGTGAGTGAGCCACGAATCATTACGAGATATACGTTCATCACAGCTACATTTTTACACATTAACATTGTTAAAAGATTCAGAAAAATGCAAGCCAACCATCATTTATAATGCGAGCGAATTTATGTACACTTAAGCCATATAATATACATATTATAGTAGGCATTTGCTTTTAAATAGTATAGCCTGCTGACTGAGGTCTGTATCAAGTCTCATTAAGACCCACCGAGATCAGATATCCTAGTTGATCAGCCTGCGAGCCCACATTATGTTGTGATAAGTGGTCATTTTACATATAAATGTATTCCAGTGCACACATTAAGTTATATATAAATATAAAATATGCTAATCATGCCATGTGTTTCGTTATGTAGTATAATCATCACCGACAGATGGAAAGACAACAATAACAAGGAATTCATATTAATATTACCAAGTTACACAGAAATAGATACATCATATAAGACAAAATAACACAAAGATAAAAGCAAAAACGTTAAGATAGAAACGAAAACATGTTCACAGCAGAGTAAAAATTATGAATATATGTGTTTGTAGTTCTCAACGTATGTGAGTATCCTCGTCATTCGGTTTGTGTCGCTGTATCGATGCATAACGAAAGTTAACCAAGTAAACAGTCACATCTTATCTGGATAAGTGCTGCAAAGTGCAGAATACCGTTTTGATAAGGGAGACATGTGTGTAGTCTTTAATATTAAACATGATTGCTGGTTGATAGCCACAGAACAGAAGTCGTATCACAAGTTAAACTGGGCGGATCACAGCTCAGCTGAAGACTTCTCCACGCTGCTTTCAAACTGTGAGTAAACAACGTGTGCTTCACTTGGAGGCTGTCTGAAGGACATTAAGAACGATATTCAGTAATAAGTCTGGCAAAAATAACTGGTTTAAATGATTTATTCAAGCGTGCAATGTTTTGAACACACACATCCCCAGTCACCTCATTGTCATTTTGTAGTCCTCGCTGTACGCGTCCGGATATCGGCATCGCAAACACAACCTCACACACTGGTACTGAATGTGCATCAAAGTGTTCCTATCCAGCCAAATATACCAAAAGATTAATGTAAACGACAGAAGAAGCGATCGAAATGTGTATATGTATTTTATAGAACGTCACGAGTTCCCCCGCGTCACCAGTTAAACGGTAACAACTGCACCTCGGAGGTAAACAAGGGCTCGCTTCTGACTCACCTGTCTGTCTGTCTGTCTGTCTGCAGCTCTCATCGTCCGGTTCCTCACCAGACGATTTATTGGGGAGTACGCCTCATCTTCAGGTAATGAGACTGTCGTGCGAACACTAATGGGAAACTGACTTTCACTGTTACATCGTTACTCTATTAAACATGATTCAAATCTCTGTACACTTTCTACTCATTACACCTGTAAAACCCCCAACAATTATATATCTGACACATGGCATATGAGTGAGACATACAGTAGGATACTTTTTTATACATGATACACTAAGTATTTGACACTAAAAGATGTTTCATCTTTGCGATCTCCAGTATGTCAAATGCAGTTCTGTGCATGGGTTTCAACAAAGTTTGGCTGTGCACAGACTAATGTAGTTAAATGGAAGCAGATTGCTGTGTGTTCAGCCTCTTTTTAACAATTCTGCAGAGCTACAACGATCAGTAGTCAGACAAATAGTATTTTGTAGTATCATGCAAAACAATTGGTTCGTTGCAGCCCAATCAACCAGTCATTTAACTTCCATACATTCTACGTCATATTGCTGTTTCAATTACCACACCTCAAACACCATTTTTTTGACAAAAATAAAAATGAATATTACGGAGAGGGATGGGGCAAAAACTGGACATCAGTGGCCTGTCAATGTCACTATAGGTCAGATACAAATTGCCTCTATGTCTGAAGCAAAACTTTGATTATATTCTGAAACTATCACGCTTTAGTCAAAGTGCACAATTGGATCAGCCCTACTATAACTAAACCTTTACCAAACATTGGCATCAAATGTTAAGATTCATAATATTGTCTCCAATTCATTGATCAGATATTTCAAGGTTTAAATCCTGTTTATTTCACTAAATGTATTCTGTAACTTTCTTCTATTGTCATATGCCAACATTCAGTATGGCTGTTTATATCCCTATCAGAAGCCCTATTCATTTGGAATGTCTGTTATCAGTTTGCTGGTTTCTAGTTTCTATAAACTGTTTATCTTTCTATCCAAGTCCTCTTATCTCATATACTTGTATCGTCTTGTAATGTATGGTGAAGCCAGCTGACAAGCCTTTACCTACAGATGGCACATATTCTGTCAAATTTAAGAGCATGGCTGAATATTTGACAGATTCTTATTGTTAGTCAGAATGTGGTCTGAACAGCCATTCTGTTTGATACAATTCTGCAAAAGGCCACCTGACAGCAGGGAGAATGACTCACATTAGTCTCTGATAGTGGCTCAATAGCCTATTGTTTCCCTGAGAATAATCGAGTTTCATATGAGCTTGTTTACTTCTGCACTCTCAATGAGTGAAGCAAGGACACTGCCTGAGGTGTGAAAGGAACACGTGCACACACAGAGAGAGAAATGTGTCCCAGTATTGGTGACAAATACAGTTTTAGAAGTATGAATCCACTGTTTTCAGATACAATTTGAACTCATAATTATTCTCTTTTTGATGATTTTCGTCTTGTTTTCCTGCTGCTGTCTTCCACAGAGTGCATATACAGAAAGCGTCTATCAGTGGATGGGAAACAGATCAATCTCCAGCTCTATGACCCCTGCTCTCAGGTGAAGTTACAGATGGAGCACATATAACAAAATGCACTATTATTGTATTTTTTCACCAACAAATAGGTGGCACAGGGGCAGGGTCCTAGTCGGCATATCAACCAGTCGCACTTATCATCTTGTAAACCAATTGATCGCTACTGTTCATTTGCAAAATCAGAATCACAAACATGGACTCCACACAACACAATGGAGATAAACACAGTAGGGAATATGCAAAACAAAGCAACCCATACCAAAGTAACAAGGCTAAATCTATATTATTATATTACTATTATATTATATTACGTGCAAAATTAGCAAACATTAAATATAACTCAAACAGCTTAAACCAAAGCAACCCAAAATATAACTGTAATAAATCAAAAAGAGGGTGACACGCTGCAGCCTTACACTTGCACATATCATTTTTAACTACAAAATGTATATATTTTATGTGATGTCTTTAAACAATCTGTTTTTCAGGCATATGAGGGAAGGTCTACTGTAAACGAGCAGATCCAATGGGCTCATGGTTTCATCGTGGTCTACGATATCAGCGACCGCTCCTCCTTCCTCACCGCCAAAGCCATAGTACACCTCATCAGAGAGCTACGCCTGGGAACTGGCAAAAGGTATGGCTAAGATCACTGTACGATAATAATGGCCACCATGCAAAACAACCCGGTGAAAGTCAATTATTGTTGTGCTTTCTGACCCACAGGAACGTGGACTCGCTCATATTTCTGGTGGGCAACAAGCAGGACCTGTGCCACATGAGAGAGGTGCGGCGTGAGGAAGCTCAGTGTCTCGCTGCCGAGTGTCGCTGCCAGTTCTACGAGCTGTCAGCCGCTGAGCACCACCAGGAAGTGGCGCTCATATTCTTCAAGATGGTGCAAAATGCTAACGTGGGCAGCAAGGCTAAGGAGCGCAGGAGACGCCCCAGCGGCTCCATGGCCAAACTCATCAACAACGTCTTCGGAAAGAGGAGGAAATCAGTGTGACGGGGCAAATACATGGACAGCTGTCAGTCAAGGCTGGATCAGTTTCTTGGCTTGGCTTTGTGTTTCCAATTGTGTTGGGTGAGATGTTAATTAAACTGATGTCTATACGTGTTATTGTGAGTAGAAGACATCATGCTCAGTGAGTCTGCTTGCTGTTAAACTCAACTGATTCATGATTTTGTGTTTTCCTTTCCTGTAGTATGTTATATAGGTTTCTGTGCATGTAAATGGTCCACAAAGGCTGATATCCCAACGTTTCTCACCCACAAAATCCCCCCTCCCCCTGCCGGAAACGCTCCATTGGACTCCTTTGTTTACTTCCATAACATAGTGACACTACTACGTAACACTAGCGCTTCTATTGGCTATCGCTCCAATACATTGTACGTGAAAGCGCGGGACATTTCTAAGCAGTTGATCACAACAGAGCCGGCAAGCTAACCAATCAAAGCAGACTGGATCTGACCTTAGGAAATGTTTGAAAAGTTGTTGACTTTTAATCAATGATAAACAAATTACTTAAAAACTGTTCTGTCCTACTTCACAGCCAGCACTCCAAAATATGATGTTCCAATACAACAGTGGTCATTTGTCCATTAGAGCCTTTTCTGCTTTTTTGACAGACCTTTAGAACAACCTGCGATTTGCAACCAAAAGCAGCCGTAAACTCACGTAATCTGGGTTTACTTAATCTGGTTAACTTTGCTGAGAAAAACATCCAGGTCAGATAAATGTATGTTCCAGATTTGAGGTTGCGCTGGGTTTCATTCACCAGATAACTTGGTGAACCTGATAGCTGGAACAGGCCCCAGGTCATGAAGGACCCTCAATGAAAATGTGTTAAAGTGCCTGAGAGAGAGAAGGCAAGCCACTCCTGCTGCAGCCTCCAGAGTTACAGAGAGGCAGGTACCAGTCAATACAAGAACTACAGAAAACTGATGTCTATATGGCACTCCATTCATGCAACCACTTCTATTGTGTTTTTGGAAAAGACAATTGAATGCTATTTTCTTTCCTAAGCAGGACAATTCTACACAGCCAATGGTTGAGGCTCATTTCAACCAAATAATAAAAGCAAACAAACATATGTTTTCATTTATCTCCAGTGTTATTTTTGGGTTTTATATGTCCAGATTTTCATATATGCCTTTAGGGATTACTAAACACCTTTTTTGGAACACAATGGAGGTCAATGTAGCTCACTGTGAACATTTTTTTGTAAGAAATAGCACATTTTGCAGGTTTACTAAACGGCAGGACCGTCAGTATTATTATTTCCCGCTGGAGATGAAAACAAACTGATTTACTCCTTTTTAAAGAGTCCTGAAATCCACATTGGTATTCTTCTCCAAATAGTTTAAGGGTGAATAAATAAACTAAAAGAAAATCATTTGCAGGAGTTAATTATAAGATGTACTTTATCAGTAATCCAGTGACTTAATATACATTTCAATTTCTGCACATAATGTACACTAATCGTTTGCATTTATTCTCATGGGTCTGTGCTTCAAGGTGAAACGTTTGTCGAATTGATAAAATCGTCAGAGAAAAAAAACATTGACTATGAGCCATAAATGAATGAATGTGTAAATCCTCTGTTGAACTTAAGAAGTATTAAATGTTATTTATCCATTTACAATAACTAGGTTTTAGAAGCTGCAGTTCTCGGTTGCTTCTTTGGTCAACATCAATGACTGAATTGTATTGCAGGTCTTTACATGCTGAACATATCTAAATCCTGGCTGGATCTATCAGAAGGTCAGAGGGCTCGGATCTGTTTGATGTAGCTCGCAGCATGATGGCTAACATGTGGCTCTGGTTGGGGCTTGTTGAGCGGTGAAACAGTAGAGACCACCAGTGGGCCGCCTCAGGCTGATCCCTCTGTAATATGACATGGGAGTTATCATCAGCGCAGTGCATGGAGGCTCCTAATCCGTTCCATCCATTACAAATCCCTCCAACTTGATCTCACATTACTCTGCAGATCAGCCTGACTGGCAGCTCAATGAAAAGCACCTTTATCGCACATGGATTCATTGTTCACCTCTGTGGCTGAACATGAAATCCTCGGTGTGATTGAAATAGTATGACAACATGAGGGTGTCTGCAAAGTCTTAACACATCTCAATGTGTGGTTTCTAAAAATATGTAATATACGTGTGGGAAGAGAGAAAAAAGTAGTAGTTTTAGTAGAACTGACAAACTAAATATAATTCTGAATTAATTTAGTTGCTGTTATTTGTCATTAATCTTCAATTGGGTCAGTGAAAACAATACAGGTGTTTCCATCCCCCTTCGAAACAAAGAAGTGAAATCTATGGATGTATTAGGTACGGTGGCCGACAGGTGCCAACGCGCTACAACAGCCCAAAACATTTCTGTTAGAGGAAACCCGCTGCAGTTTCAAAAACAAAGCAAATAAAAAACACAAAAGCAAATGAAAAAACATCTTCACCAACTTGACAACACATGCGCAGCGTTCACTATTAGCGCTGCATAAACGAAACTTTGCAAATACAAAACGCTGCAAGGACCAACAGTGACAGTTAGCCAACTTTATATATTTTTATATATATTATTCCAACATCAAAGGCGCTCTGGTCCTAGCTGTGTGCATCACTTTTAAGTAACCCATTGTTCCATTGTGTTTTGATCTATAAAACATAATATATACAAGTGAAATGTTAAATGTCATTCAATTGTCCCTCCAGGCTCCCTTACAGTCAAGATGGTGGCGAATAATACCAATCGGTGAATTAACATGCATGTTTTGAATATTAAACAACAGACAAAACGCAACATGACAAAAGGAGGACAGTCGGCTAGGGTAACAGTAATTCTAGTAATCAACGAATTCTATTTATTTAATTTTCCAATATCTACAGTCAAAAACAAGATTTCATTGATCGATATGTACAGCGCAAGAACATAGACCTACAGCTGAAGATCCAACTTCAGAAGTCTAAAAAGGTGCAGATATAAAAGCTTGTCTTTATCCAGACAGGTAAATATATAACCAGCCTTCTCCTCATCACCTACAGTCCAGATATCTCAGTATTTCTTAAAACACCTGAACCCTGTGACCTCTGCCCAGCTGCCCCTCAGAGCCTCCACACAGTCGCTCTCTGACAGCAGAGATAAGAGCTCCATTCAGAGCGGTATGGGGGGGGGGCACACTGCCAGCATTCCTGCAGACACCTGCGAGGGGCCGGCATGTCAAGAATGTACCAGAGGACATGGGATGGAGAGACCTGCAGGAGGGCGGGGGGGCAGACTTAAGTTTATAATTGATACGCTAATAAAGCCAAGGAGAGGAGCATGTAGACCAGGGGTGTCAAACTCAAATATACAGTGGGCCAAAATTAAAAAATGGGTACTAGTCGAGGGCCGGACTGGTTCAATGTTTATTGCAAAACTTATTGAAATGAACTTATTAAACCTGGAACTAACAAAGCTTAAATGATTGCCTATAAAAACAACATTAAACATTAAATAATCAGTTGCATTCATTTCTTATGGCTCTATCTGCAGCTTCTCCGGAGTCATTTCTTATGATTACATTTTTCCACAGGCCAACAACAGCTTCAAAAAAACAATTTCCCTCAAAGAAAAAAACAAACATGCCCTGCTGTCGCAAGAAAGAAAGTGCAGAAGGAAACATCCATTGAAACTCAGTGTGCTGCTCTGTGATGCTAGTTCATTCCAGATACTTGGCATCTCATCTTGGATGCAAGTTCATCAATGTTTGGGTCAGGCTCTGAGCGGAGGAAACCCTCAGGATTGAGTGAAGGTGTGCGTGCAATTTTCCCGGCGGGCCAGATCTAATAGTAATTTAAAATTACCCTGTGGGCCGAAAATAAATCCACTAAGGGCCTGATTTGGCCCCCGGGCCTTGAGTTTGACACATGTGATGTAGACCCAAATATCATGTTCTGTTAAAGGTTCATATTTGTATTTTGTGCATGTGACAGGTCTCCATGCTTTAATGTTTAAAAAGCTCTTTATTGTTCTCAAACTGCCTGTGCTGCAGCACCTCTTTTCACCCTCTGTCTGAAAAGTATTTGGACTTTTATTTTGCCATTTATCCTCATTTATCTTTCAGGAAAATGTGTCTAACCTAAAGGTTTGCTCCTACCCGTTTCTTCCTCTCACTGCTTGTGATGTCAAGGGTTCCAACAGCTGTTAACATTTTAAGAACATTGTTATTTGTTAGAGAGTTCTCCTTTGAAGCTTATGCATTTCTCTCATCTGTAATGTTTGTAACCATGTTGTAAAGACTAAATAATATTAATGACGAGGAGAAGAAGTTAATAATGATATGCAACATTGTTCTAAGCATGGTGGGGTTATGAAAGCAGATCACATGTCTACACTGAGAAATAATCCTGTGTGCATTCGGATGCTTTGAACTCACACACACATGGAGCCGCTTTATGATTTGCTCATCTGAAGCCTTTGAAGTCAGGAAGTGCAGCTTCATTACTTGTATTCAATTAGGCATCATTAGAATTCAAAAGGCTCCTGTGATACCCGGCTCTGATGATGAGGAAGAGAGCATCCCCTGATCCTCTCTGTGGAGTCAGTACGCACATCAAACAACCTGTGTGTAATCGCAGGAAACTGAATCAACTTCTGCCTTATTTTTTTTCAACCTCCCAGTGTTCAGAGTTCCTCCAGCACCACAGACTCCGAGGGCCACAGATTGTAAAGGGCCCCCTGCTCTGGGATCAGACTGTCAAAAGTCAGGACGTCATCATTTTCTAAAGTCTGGCACCCATCAGACTGACAGAGATCAGTCTCAGATCCAGAATAGCTTTTTTAACCCCCCGGGAAAATGTGGTTTTGTACTCCCCTTCTGAATAAAATAAAATAAAAGATAAATTAATATAAAATTGAATAAAAAAAGTTTATAAAATTCAAGTAGGCATACGCAATAAAAATATAAAATAATAATATTTATATAAACATAAAATATAACGCCCAATTTAAGATACATTGAAATGAAGAAAAAATATTAAATTAAATATTAAATTAAAACAACAAATTGTTTCGTGACAGACGCTTCATTTTAGATTAAAATAGAAGATAAATGAATAGAAAAATATTTGTATGAAAATAAGAATTTCAAGCAGAAATGTGCAATAAAAAGATTTTAAAAATAGTTTTGTATAACAGGAAGTTCAAGTAAAGTAAAAATATATATATATTAAATATAATTATTCACATAATACGTTATTATATTGTTGTTGTTGGAGGTGGTGGTGCTAACTTCAAGTTCTTTAAATACTAGTGGGCTATTTTTTATAAATAACATGTTATATATTTAAAAGGCTCAGACAAGACACACGGATACAGATAAAGACTGCAAACAAAACTCGCCCCCCACAGCGTCACGAGGCGGTGTGTTCAGGGACCCTATTGCAGAGATAAAAAAAGGGTATTAATCATATTGAGAATAAATAGAAGCTGCAATCACCTCCCACACCCCCCACCTGTTTATGTAATACCTTACATAATAATGGTCATTTAAAGTCGACAGGAGGGCTATTTTGGGTCTTTCAAAGGACTGGCATGCATCACTAAGTGCGTCCAATAGATGTAAAAACACAAGGGCGTCTAATCTGTGATGATGAAACTAAAGAGAGCCAGGTCTGTAGCTAATGACATGAATAACACGTCACAGGCAGGACTGCAAACACATTTTAGTAATAAAAGAGGATATATTTTTGAAATAGGTCAGTAGAGAAACAAATATGATGCTATTACAGACACGTTTGAAGATGCTATTTAGTCACGCTGCTTGTAGAAAATGACGCAGTAACACATTTACGTTATTACTTTAAAACCTATTTCTAGCAGATTTTGCCAGCCAGAAAATAAGACATGCGTGCTTCTTTAAAAAACAAAATGTCAGACATGGTTGACTTCTCGGTTCTGAGCAGGCGGTCTTCACCTTGTACCCAGAGAGATGTATTCCAGACATGTCTGGTCTCAGCAGGGCTCACAGGCTCCACATGATGCAGTGGCACTGAATAATGTGCCTGCTTTAACACAGAGAGGAAGCACTGAGGATACACCTGAATATCTGAGCAAGCAGGACCAAGAATGTACGAACACACACGATGTAATGATGAAAATGTCAGACACACACCTGTTGAAGGAAAGTCAGATGTCACAGGGACAGCAGCTTTGTCTCCATCTAGTGTTATAAAGCGGTACTGCAGTATGAAGACACCCATCAGTGTGAACAGTTTTACAGAATATGGGTCATCCAGGAATCTTTCTTTAAACGTTATTCTTCTCTATTCTCTGCAGTCGGCACTCTCTAAGTCTTAAAATAAAAATAAGTCTTGTATATAGCATGTGATAATGATATACTTTTCGATTTGTGAATCCCTTTTAAAACATGTTGACCTTATCTTCTGTCATCACGTTTCCTTGTTCCCTCTGGATTGTTACTCAGGGTCGGTCTCCCTTATTTTTCGAGTACATTTGATCAAATATTATCTTTCTTTCTTCTATATTTGAGTGCACTTGTTTCCTAATTTGTTATATTTATCCTGTGTTTCCCCCCCCAAGTTTTAAAAATAGTTGTATGTCTTGGTTTTACTTGGAGGGTACACATTTTGTCACTACCCTTCAGCTCAGCATGGAAACAGTATTGGGACAAACAAAAGAAGGGAATTTAGTGTTAATAAACCATTGATTTGATTAATTCAACCTGAAGAACACTGATAGTTATCTTGGCCCAGGTATTGACTGCTTCACTTTTGTTGTTGGATATAAACAGAGGAATTATTACAGCGGATAGAAAACTGTATTAGTTGTTATTGGTATCTATTGTTTAGGGATTGACTCAAAAAGTGTACAAATACCTTTTAAGACTTAATTTCTGATGAAGTTCTAAGAACCAAGTTGTCATACTTGGCAGGAAAAGATGACTTGCAGTGTTGGTTGTCCTTTGGGTCTGTCAATAAGACGTGCAAGTTGGAAAAACGTGTAGCAAAATGTAAAATAAAACACCCTTAAGAACCAGTCAAATGAATAATGTTGCTAAACCGCTGTTCTGTGTCGCCATCTAGTGGTTATTTGGTCAATCCAAGAGACAAAAACAATATGACTTGTTTTAGAGTTTTATTGGGAAGTTCAAAGGATTTCTTCATTCATGATCTGTAACCAGTGTAACAGCTTTCAAAAGTGTCAAAGAAATAGTGTGAACAAAATATATGAAGAGCTTTGCAGTAGAGATGCAAATATATGTTGATTCGTTTATAAAGGATATGATAAAATAAAATATATAAAAGGATAAATGTAAATAAAGGACATCATGATAATAGCATATAGAATCTGTTAGCCAGGTTTTCTCGCCTGCACACAGACACATAAATCAGTCATCTTTAGAAAACAGTGGAGCTGATTAAAAGGCACTGATTCCATTTGAAAATAATTATAATAATCCCCGCATGCAAACAAACAATCAAAAAAGACACCAGTGATTCTACATTTGAACAAGGTCATTAATCAATAGTGTGATCATTAATCATTTAGGATCTGTATTAAGATGGACAAAAACATTCCCAGTCTTAATCATGGATGTTAAAATGGCCACTATTAAATAAAAGAGAATAAGATATTATAAAATAATCATGTACACTAAATTAAAAATAATGAATCACATGTTATTGTGAGTTTTTATATTATCAGAATCTTTGGTATCTTATTTTTACAGTTTTACCTTTTCCAAATATCTAATTTTTCAAATGTTCTCACCAACACTTTCTGGCTCAAAAGTGAGAGGGCATTGAATATATAATATTAAAACTGTCCTGACAAGAGACATGATATGTAAGAGTAACAATAAAAAGGAAAAGAAAAAATTATATGTGAGAAATAAAAATGGATTGATTGTTTATCTTAAAAAGTTGGTCATCCATTTTACTTGATTGATTTTATAATGTTTATATTAATTTTTTTATATTGTCAGTTTCCCACGTATGAACTGTTTATTTTTTCCTCGATCTAAATCAAATAAAAATAATAAATACACATTTTCATCCTAAAGTCTGTATCTAGTGTAAAATGCCGACAGACTGAGATAATGGGGGAGTGGTGCATTCAGGGACTGCCCGGAAACATGTCATCCAGAAGAGAAATCATGACTAGTTATCTGCAGTGTGGGGGTTTTGACATTGTACTTTTAGACAAGCAGCAGCAACACAACGCTCCCAGTTAAACATTCATGATATTTGGTCTTTAAAGCAGCTTAGGATTGATATGATAAGTATATAATAAAAAGTGTATATTGCACAGGATGAGCAGAAGCGGACGCTGCTGTTAGTAATAATCAGAATCTCCTGACCTGCACAGTAAAAGCACAGTTTGAACGTAATGTTAACAACACAGACATATAGCTTTGTGTGCGTTATGTTTGGCATTAAATCAGTCTGCAGTGAAACTCTCAGACAGCCTGAGTGGGACCCACCCTCATCTGAGACTGAAGACCCCTCAGAGGATCACACAGCTGGAAGGGGACGCCTCTTCACTGCTGGAGTGGACACAGAATAACATGTTTCAAATCCTATTTACTCAAACCATTTCAATGCCAGACAGTCACCATTTTGAAATGTAATAGTTCAATATCTGCTCATATGTCTCATGTAAGTCTTAAAAGTCTCATTTAGCAGGAACCATGGACCAAAAGACAACTGAAAACCCCCCACCTGTGCTCTGGAGCGTCAGCCGGCTTCAGCCTCTTGGGGGCACTGCCCTCCGACTCAGACGGGGGTCTCTGACTCTGCTCACTGGTCTCAGAGCCCACCTGAGGAGAGGGACAGAGGTAAACCTCAATATGATGGAAACTGCTTGAGAATTAAAGTCTCAGAGAAAACTTGGTTTTAAATCTAAATATTTCTCTGGAAAATTAAAATATTTATGAATGAATAAGAAGACACAAAAAGTTGAAAATAACTCTGTTTAGTTATTGGTTAAGAGTCAAACACACAAAAAACGAATCTATATCAAGACTATAAAAGCCCAAATAGGCAAATGTTTGCTGTTGTAATACATGTTTGGACCACAAGAGGCTGAAATGCACAACTACCCCCAATGCTCTAAATGTGGCATTCATGTTTTACATTCTCCATGTACTCTGATAACAGAAACATATATTCAGTTTTTTAATATGTGGTAGTACTGTGATGTTTTTATTATACTTACGTACTCTTATATACCTACAGGGGCCATTTTTGGACGAGGTATCTGTGTCATTCTGTGTGTAGGTGACAACATTTAAGGTTGAGTTAGAAACATGGATGTTGTCAGAGCAAGTGCTGGAACTAAGGGTGTAGGAACTGGGAAGGGGCCATTGTGTGTGTGTGTGTGTGTGTGTGTGTGTGTGTGTGTGTGTGTGTGTGTGTGTGTGTGTGTGTGTGTGTGTGTGGAGACACTGTATATATATATATATATATATATATAATATATATATATATATATATATATATATATATTGCAACCAATTCCATTTAACTTCAAATTCCCCTCGCCGGCAGCCACAGTGCGCCTGGCTAAAATGCTGGTCACATCCATATGTAAACAAACACGCATGTAAACGGCAATTTATCGAGGTCAGAAAAGTTATCGAGTTCATTTTTATTTATTGCACAATAAATCAATTAATTGCTTATGTGTGTGTGTGTGTGACTCCCACCATGTTTTCTCTTCCTGCCGGGGGTGCTGCTGCTGCTGGGCGTGTTGTGGCTGTCGGCGGCTGATCGGAGGGGTCTCCGGCACAATTCATCCCTCTGATGGACCACTGTCTCCTTAGACTGCAGCTTCCTGTACAGAGAATACACTCAATTTATCAGTTTCGACAAAACTAGTAATGAAACATACATTTCAAGGGAAAAACATATTTATACGTGTGCAGTAAGGCTTCTAAATTACCTCAAATATACAGTAACATATCACATTTCTCTCCTGACAGGCCTTGTTGCAACTACTCTTTTTTGCCATCTATCTATCTATTTACTTATCTGTCTATCTGTCTGTCTGTCTGTCTGTCTGTCTGTCTGTCTGTCTGTCTGTCTGTCTGTCTGTCTGTCTGTCTGTCTGTCTGTCTGTCTGTCTGTCTGTCTGTCTGTCTGTCTGTCTGTCTGTCTGTCTGTCTGTCTGTCTGTCTGTCTGTCTGTCTGTCTGTCTGTCTGTCTGTCTGTCTATCTATCTATCTATTTACTTATCTGTCTTAGACCTGCATTCTTCCTAATGGCTAGCAGGGGTCGGCTCAACTGCTTGTAAAAAGAAGTCACAATGTATAGAAGTCTGAGAAAATTACCCAACTTCTCACTTAATCTATTTCCTCAGTAAACATTTCCCTAGTGATTGTATGTTCTTATTTGCTAGATTCTTCAATACAACATGACGTTCACTTAGTAAACAATGGAGAATTTAGGGTAAAATAGACGATAAAGCAGGGTAGAGTTAGGGGTGTGGCTACCCTGTGATTGACAAATTGCTACAGTAGCAACCTTTCAGAGGCGTATCAATCTGTATCCATTGAAATGGGTACAAGCTTGTTTTTGGGTGCTTTGGTTTTTTATCTTTGAACTTAACCCGTTCACACCTTTTTCAGTTCATAAAATACTTTTTGGTTGGACTGAGAGACAGAAGGAGTTGGTGTTTTTTTTTGGCAACTTTGCTTATTTGCAAGCCAAAGTAAGCATGCCAACAAATATCCCCCAAAAAATGCTCATCCTAACAACAGAGGAACAAATATAGACGTCCTATTGCTGTTATGATTATATCAATATAATCCATGATGCTGTTAGTTATTAGCTGTTATCACCCTGTGACACAAATACCAATAATATACTTAGTTTGAGATTGTGTTAAAGGTTTCCTCGCTTGATCTGTGATTCACAATAGCCCATAACATAAACTCCAAAACTCCAAAATAAAGAAAGTTCTTCAACACAATTTGCAGAATCAATTCACATACATGTGAACATGTTCCACATCTGACCAGAGGACACATTTGTTACCAGAACTTTTCAAGAAACAATACCTTTAGAATCAGAATACCTAATGAACGATACTGGCTTCAACATGAACCATGGAACTTTTTAAAACTCTAACGTGATTTTGATGCATTTCCACTTAGTTAATAATGATAATATGTAAATTATTTCCAGCCATACTGCATATATCATAAATGTATCTCGTGATGTCAGCTTGAGAAGGGGGAGGGGGTCAGAGTTGTGCAGATAAAAAGGCAAAGCAGTTCAACTGAGTCTTTAGCCTCCATGCATCCCTCGTGGACAGCCCCCAGCCTCACCTACTATCACCGAGCATCGATCTGCACGCTAATTAAGTCCCTTGGCTATGACCTTTTCTTAGTGTGTGTCAATAACATTTTATTAACAAAAGGAAAAACTCTGCACTAACTACAATCAGTCAAACTTTCTTTGGGTAACTGCAGTTTTGTGAAGAAGAGAAAACAATGTCTACCAATGTGATATGACTCCAGCCCAGATGATGATAAATGTTTTATAATCATTGAGAGCAACATTCGATAGATACAGAGATGTCAGTCCAGGCAGTGTGTAGTTAAATCAATAATTTAGCGACGTGTAGACCCCCCCCTCTCAACCCTGCTCCCCTCCCCAGTGGTGTGAGCGCTGCTGACCCCCGGTCCTCTCGGCCTGTCCTCTCCTCAGTCCTAATTACGCTCCCTGGAGTTTAGAGCCGTCAGCCTGCAGCCCCGGCCCCCCCCCCCGTCTGCTGGGTGGTCCGAGCTCTTTGACAGCCCCCTCTGACAAAGTGATAAACTAATTAGCCTGGCCGGGCATGCTGGGGTCGGGGCCTTCAGCATAGCTGCCCCCCCCCCCTACACAACGCAGGGGCTGACCCGGACCCTCCTTAGGGAAACCTGGGGCCAGGCGGGCTGAGGAGGGGAGGGGGGGGGGAGACACTGAAGTCGGGCTGATCAATGATGAGAGGCTGCCTGAGAGACAGGCCCGAGGTGCAGCTCCAGCCTGCGTCAAAGTTTTACTGAGAGACAACCACTGTCCACACACTGCATACTGAGACCCCCACCATTATTTATGGAACTTCTGAGCTGCATGCTCTTCATCAGGGAACAGCATATCTACAACCACGAACACACAACCTGCACTTTATTTGATTCAAAATACTCATAAGGGCAACAAAGTGGATTCATCCGCAACTGAAAATAGTCCCTAACAGATGCACCTTTCCTACTGTTTGACCTACTTTTGCTAAAAACTACAATGCCTGAATCAGGGGTGTCCAGACTTTTTTCACCGAGGGCAGCATACAGAAAAATATACAAAGGTCTTGGCCACTAGAGGTGAGGTATATTGCCTCATAAGTTAAGTTATAAGTTATCAAAATCAATCAAATGTAGGTAAATTATGCTTGATACTTGAATATGCTTTAAGAAAACAAAGTGCCTACATCACAGCTCTCCATAGGGTTTCATTCTTTTAGTTACTAAAAGTGTTCCTTAAACACTCATTCCTTAAAACAGAAGCCTCAGATTGCTTATAATAAGGGGAAATATAAAGGGTTAATTACTTTTATAATTTGCTGCTCCATTTCAAAATGGACAATGGGCTGCAGTTGGCCCTTTCATTTGGAAACCCCCTTGCCATAACAAAATACAGGTTTGTGTGCATGTAAATTGTCTGCAAAGGCTAACATCCTAAAGTTCCCTCCAGAAGGAGTTTCTCTCCCACCCACTCCCATTGTTTAGGGGGGATGTAGGCATTTCAATTATTTTTCTATACTTTGGGGAAATCACTGATACAAAAAAAAGAGGGCATGACTGAAAGGTATATCTGTCATATGGTATATATCTTTGTTGCACTGAATTGAGGTTTTAAACTTAATTTGTTTGTTTTATTTTGATTTTTTATTCATGTGCAATGTCTTTTTTACATGCTGCTGTAACAACACAAGTGCCCAATTCATTCAAGAATATCTAATCTAATCTAATTATGACATTTGACAGGCTCAGAGTCACAATGAGGGTGACTTTTAGACCATAGGAGTGAGGTTTAGGGTCGGGGTTATAGTTCAATTATAGGTGTGTGTGTGTGTGTGTGTGTGTGTGTGTGTGTGTGTGTGTGTGTGTGTGTGTGTGTGTGTGTGTGTGCGTGTGCGTGTGCATGTGCATGTGTGTGTGTGTGTGTAGTAGGAACATACCTGATGGCTGAGCTCAGGCTCTGGTACCAGTCATTGAGATCCTCCTGGTTGCAGGACATCAGCAGAAGACTGGCTTTGGGGAAGGTTAACTGGAAGAAGAGGAGGAACAGGAGGGTAGTTAGGATGTTTGTTGGCAGTACAGGTGTGAATGATGAGGTGTTATGGTTTTATGGTGGGTGTTCGGATATAGTGTAATGTCAGCTTTTGGTTGTATTTGAGTAGAAACACCATCTATAAGTCATCCAAGGCCTCTCTACTGGAGTGCTTAAAACTGCAGTAACATAGTAAAAACAGAAGAGGGCAGGACAAATCAAGCAAAAACCTTCTCCCTGCCAACAAAGTGCTGCTTTAATCACCTTTAAACACTGAAATCTGTAGGTAAAGAAAAAAGGGACAAAGTCTAGTACAGTAACAGAATCTGCCACATTTATAATGTCTACTCCATTGTGTCCTGCAGGCAGCTGGACAGAGACATACTCTCAGGTTTACAGAGAGACAGCTTCTTCCTTTGAGTCAACAGTAATTACCAACTTGCCTCAGATTGTACAAGTCAAACAAACCAAAAGGAGTTGTCTGAAGCCCAGACAAAAGGGGCTTTTAGCCACGCGTAATTACACTGGGAAAGCTATTAAATACAGGGGATCAAAATCAGGCCTTCACCATATTAAATGACCTTTCACATTTACCTGCAGCTGCCGCCTGTACACAGGAAGCTAGCTTGTTGAGAAGTGACATATCGATCATATGCGTTTGTATTTGGACAGAACTCGGTATAGATCATCAAACATAATGATGATTTCTATACAGGGAGGGGGGAGGGGAGCTTCTCATTATACATTAAATAGATTAAGATTTCAAATGTAATATCATCAAAAGTATTATCTAATTACAGAGTTCAGTGAATGGGGCCGAAATGAGTGCCGCATGACATTAGGCACTCGCCACTTGGGGGGACTGCGGTTTGATTTATGCACAAATAGATTCCACTTCTATTGCGATGCGGTAATTAGGGATTTGTCAGGAAATCTGACCCTGTTAGGTAGAAATTACTTTGTATAATAAGAACGGCGGAGCCTCGTCGGCGCACATAATTTAGCTTGATTATTTATACATCAAAGAGAATCTGTCAGGGATGTGGGAAAAATACTCAAGCGGCAAGGGGATATTAGCGGGAGGAAGACGGCAGACGGGGAGAGAGGCGAGGAAGGTCCACAGATGGAGGGAGAGGAGAACATAAAGAGGGAAACGTGGGGCGAGACAAATAAAAAGGTAGCTCTCTACAAACAATGTGTGACCAAGAGAAATACAAAAAAACCCACTGGAAATTTTAATAAAAGCTATTTTTTCCACCCAAACTTTGCATATAGATTGCCATGGCATTTACAGCTGTCAAATGTAATTTGGCTTTAATTCTTCATGGCCCTGGATGAGGAGGGCCCTGGAGTGCTGACAGCCCTTTTCTTTGAGCTCAGGTAGGGGCCCGGGATCAATAATGTGTCCTTATGAGAAATTACGTGTAATGCTATTGAGTATGCATTTGGGCCTCGGTGGGATAAGGGGCTAATGAAATGCCATTTCTGCCATTAGATAACGTGTAGCGGGGGGCCGGCGGAGAGCGGCGACAGGCTTGAGGAAGATGTATTTACTGGAGGGCCGGAAGAGATGGATCTGCAGCCTAATCTGATCCAGCAACTGAGAGATTCTGTTACAGCAAGCAGCCATCACACACACACACACACACACACACACACACACACACACACACACACACACACACACACACACACACACACACACACACACACACACACACACACACACACACACACACACACACACACACACACACACACACACACACACACACACACACACACACACACACACACACACACACACACACACACACACACACGACTAATCTCCCCCATCTGCAGCCTTTTCATTAGTCCCTTAAAGGATGCTTTTAATTCACACTGCCTTCATCAAATGAAGTCACACAAGCTGGATGGACACTCTTATGGGGATAACTGGAATTCACCCTCTCATGTGTGTTTTATGCAACACATTATCAAATAAATTCTGTACTTAAACTCATTTCTTTCCTCTGAAACATCTTTTAAATCAAAGCCTTTTTCGCTGCTTCGTTTAATGAAACAAATAACTCTTAATATCTTACATTCTGCTTTATTCTAGGATTTAATACCTGTGTTATTCCTTATTAGCTTGTTTTTGTTTTGAATCTTTTTGAATCAAATGTTATAATGTGTTTCTTTTGCTTGTCTTAGTGTTTTTGAATTGCCTCGTGGTGGAGACGTGCTATATAAATATAACTAGCCTGACCTTACTGTATGGTTGTCGATCCCAACCATTGATTGATCTGGCAGGTGAACCGGCTAAAGTGGCGCTAACTAGCTCAGAGCTGTAGCACTGAACGCTGTCAATCATCAGAAACTGGCCTTTAATGTCTGATCAGATGTTAAAACTGTATTTTATCAAGAGCTTAAACTGTGTGTTGATTAAGTGATTAGTCATTTAAAAAAAAAAACTTCTCAATCCAAAATGTAATGCTTGCATAAACCTAGGCAAATTATGAATGAAGACATTAAACTGTAAAATAAATAATGGATATGTTATGTATTATACACTTAACTGTTGATGGTGGTGGTCGAATCAAACAGATGAATCAATAAATAATCGTTTACACCTGAAATTAATTACACCTCAATTCTACTACTGGGTGATTCTATACAGTATTTACAATAAGACAAATGTGGGGTCTTGTGTTAAATGCATTTCTTTACATATTTCTCAAATTATTGTACATTTCATTCAGACTGACATTACCTGATGATCTCCATATTAAGTGAAATTCAGAAGGTGAATTGTGATGCCATCAATTCTTAAGGGATTGAGATAACAAACCAGTGCCAAAAAACAATTTATGGATGTAACAATAGTTTGTTGACGTTATCTGATTATTATTATTTTAAAACCACTTAGATTCACAACTTATCACATCTGTATTTAATTAATTATTTGGATGATTGCCAGAAAATGAATGGGGTTTAATTTGTTAATTAATACAGTTGTCAAGCTAATTTGTCAAATATCTAGTCTTATCTCAAACGTGAGGATTTGCAGCTTTTCTCAGTTTTAAACTGAATAAATGTAGGTTAGACAAAACACGAAATGGTGTAGATGTCAGCTGAGGTTGTCAGAATTTGACATGGATATTTTCAATTTTTTCCATTTGATAGACTTAATGATTTTCAAGTTATTGAATTTATTAATAAGCAAATAATCATTTAGTGCAGTCATATTTGAAATGACTGACAAACAGCTTAAACAACCAGACAATTGTTAAAAATATGAAACATTTTCTGGTTACAGGTTCTTTAAATGTGCTACAATTCATTATTTGGTATCCCCTAATGTCCATGTCTTCTTGCTTAATACATGAACAAATCAGCTATTGGCTTATTGGATGATTTATTAGGTCATTTCAGACCTCTTGTATACTACTTGTGCTATGTGAATCAAGCTTTAATGTCAAAAAGCATCAACATGCTGCCATTATTTTGGGCAGACAGCAGTGTGAACAGACAGTAGAGTAATGAAACCTCTGCATAGCCACTGTGCATCACAGGAAAACACATTAGCAGCACAACATAAAGAGCTCTTTGAGAGAGAGTGTATCTGCCGAAATGAATATTGATACCACGCAGCATTGGCACTAAACACTCGACTGCATAAACACTTTCGTTACTCACTCGATGACGCGTGACTCGTTCCTTTGAATGTTTCATGACAGCAACTACATCATTTAGACACAATTTGTCAGCCGGCAGCTGTACTGAGACCTGGTACGCTGATCAGACTGAGAGGAGAGGCGCCTTAAAAGTTCAGATTCTGGGATACTTTAACAACAACCGTTTGAGGTGATTAGGAAGAAGAGGAGGCGAGGGAACACAAGTCTTCTCTGACATGCACAACTAAATGACATTTTCATTCAATAAGGCTGGAAAACACTCCTCTGTTTGGCAGATTGTAGAACAGCTACTGTCATGGCCATAACTAAGACAAATCAGAGCATCACAAGTGGAAATTAAATAATGCTTCTGTTAAGGACTCACTCATGTGTATATTCATATCAATGAACAGATGGCTTCCCACCTGCTGCCCAACACTCACTCTGAGAATATTCAACTTTTCAACACTTTTATGTTTACACAGGAAATCCAAAATCCTGCATCAACTATTGTTAATGGTCTTAGTGCGGGAAACATTCGAAGAGTAGGATCTGTACAAATCACTTTGGGATATATATTGGGAACATGTACAAAAGGCTCAGTGATAGCCAATGATTTTGTAACTGTGGCATGGTAATCTGAATCTAAATAAAACATGCATTTTGAGAATAAAGGGAAATACCTGATGAACTAACGACACTAACATATCCTTGTAGATTTAACTACTGATTTTCTTTTATATTGGATAGTCTTTATTGTTCGGAGACTTAGTTCTTAGGTTGAGGTTTTATTTTAATAGAATAAGTACTGAAAGATGTACATTGAAAGAGTTATTGGTGACTTAAGTAGCAATACATGCAGGACAAATGACATGGTCCTCATTTCGTTTGTACAATATATTCTACCTTTAAAGGACACCTATTATGCAAAATCTACTTGTTCATGTCTCTTCTACATCAACATGTGTCCCCTCTGTGTAAAGAGACTCTGAAAGTTTCAGGAGAAAAGATTCGCTCACTTTTTGTCCTGATCCATTTCTATAAAAACCTGTCTGAAAATGAGCTGATCAGATTTTGGCCACTTTATGATGTCATAGCGATTTTTTGGCTTGTGTAACCATTAGCCAATCACCAACCAAGGTAACCCCCCCCCCCCCCCCACACCTTATCACCTGTATCTCCTCCTAGAGCACCATTGTGTTCTTTAACCAAATATCTCTCAGAGGGGCGTGGGGAGGGGCTCCTTATTTTCATCTAAAGTAACAGACAGAGAATCAGCACTTTTGAAACAGGGCTGAAACAGAGGGGTTTATGGGATGCTGCAATGATCTGTTTGGTGTCAAACACTTCAGAGACATGTTTTGTATATATCTGAGACCCATAATATATTGATGAAAAACAGTATAATAGGAGACCTTTAAGTTAGAAATTGCTTCCTGTTGTGTACAGTTTTAGGTTCTTCAGTCTCAACAAAATCTGCTACAATGCTCTAGAAACCCCCCGATATGTCTGGAAACATGAATACTCACGCTGAGCAGGCCTCCCTGGCTTCTGGTGTGGCCGAACACCTTCTCCACGGTGCACTCCTGCAGGGGGAAGGCGTGCCTGCCGGCGAACTTGTCCCTGTTGGCGAGTTGCATCGGGCCGCAGCGCGTGGCCTGGAGCAGCATGTCGGAGAACAGGAAGAACATCTTGGGCTTGGCGACCGCACCTTTCTGAGGAACCACCTTCAGCCAGCCCTCACGGATGAACCACCTCCCTGTGAGAGAGGAGGAAACGGAAAGAGTCTGAGACACTGTGGTTTATGTCCATTGGCCTAAGAGTTTCCAAACCACCTTCTAGGGTTAGGATTCATTGTGTCAAACCAATCACGGAAGCTGTTGTTGCCTTGCTAACTTCCTTCTTACTACACTTCCTTAGTAGATAGTGCAAGCAAGAAACATTGAAAAAGGCAAGGGAAAATTGTTGAATATGTTGGCTTGTTTTACATTTAGTCAATCCCTTCATTTTTCTTTTACCTTAGCACAATTGTTTTTGTTTTGCCAATCATAACGTTGTGTAGAAATCCATTGCCACAGTCGTATATCTACCAAGCATCCAAACAACTTCTATGTCCATCCATCTATTCATCGTCAATATCAACAATGCTATCCATCCAACTTATCCATATACCGTACAAAAACACTAATTCAAGATTGTCCCTTTTAACAACGTTTAATGTTAGTTTGAGACCATTGGTTGTTTTGTCATTTGACATTACTAAGTGTTTCATAGCATTACTAGAACAGACATGCATTGGAACTGAACTAGTACTTCCTTTACACAAACGGTATCAATGGTGCAGCACAATCCTATTGTCAAGGCTGAAACCCCGCTGCCTTTTGTAGAGTGCAAAGGGCATTATGTTACAATAGTCATTCTTTGCCACTGTCATATAGGAAACCCTTGTACGACAAGCTCCAGTGAACAAGCTGAAAAGCGACATTTGACCCATTCATTGAAGCCTGTTGTCACACAAGTTAATCCCTGCTCTCCACCTCTCACACACTGCAGACTACAGCTGTATATCCACACACGATATGGTTTCTACCACAAAACGCCATTGTATGAAATATATAGATGTTTCAGTTCCAATTCTCTTATATGGTGTGTCTTGAGTAGTTTGTTAAAGCTATTAAAATTCAATACCATAAAATATGTGACCCTCCTAAATACAAATTATTTGATTAGGTCAAAAAAAATGAAGGACCAATAATGCTTGAGTTGGGTTCAGAATGTAAAATGCTATAGAACCCTAAAAATAGTCAACCAATGCTTCTTAAAGGTCCCCTATTATACTGTTTTTCATCAATATATTATAGGTCTCAGATATGTACAAAACATGTCTCTGAAGTGTTTGGCTCCAAACACCAAACAGATCATTGTAGCATCCCATAATCCCCTCTGTTTCAGCCCTGTTTCAAAAGTGCTGATTCTGTGTCTGTTACTTTAGATGAAAATAAGGAGCCACTCCCCACGCCCCTCTGATGCCCCTTTCACACCAACACGGTTCCAGGTGCCAGGTGCCAGTTCAGAGCTAGAGCCTGAAAAGCACCGGTTTTTCCTGTTCACACCGCAGCGGAGCCGCCTCTAAGCTTTTCAAGCACCAAAAAATTGTCGGTCTAGAAGCAAGAACCGCTTACGTCGCGCTTACGTCGGAGGCGGGGGCAGGGGCAGGATCAACCTGAGCAATAACAGTTTATGGAGAGTACGGCAAATGAAAGTTGTAACAAGCAGTAGCGCTGACCAAAGTGACTAGAACGCAACCACACACTTATTTAAAAAAAAACACGCTTTATAAAGTCAGGCAACACTAACCAGGCTTCGTGTGATTCTGTTTATTTGTACCTTACTTTGACCATCCTTTCGCTGTCATTGATCATTGTGGAGGGCAGGCAGACGTTTTGTTAGTTATTATAGCAGCTATCGGATGGAATCAATACATGGGCTGCAGGTTGTCATGTCCTACTATCACAAGTAGAATCATAATGAAAAATACGCCGGTAAAATGTGCCGGCTTATGCCACAATAGGATAGCAACAAGTAGTCAAGAGTCAGTTTACATTACATGTTACTTGTTAGACGCTTTTATCCAAAGCGACTTACATACTCAATACTGTGGACAATCCCCACAGGAGCAATTTGGGGTGAAGTGTCTCAGGGACACAACGACATGCTGACTGCAGTGGGGTTTGAACCTGTGCTCCCTTGATCCGAACACCAACGCTCTATCCACTGCGCCACACGCCTCCTAGTTTAGCTTCGGTTGCTATGCTAACTAGGGATGCTCCGATCGCCAATTTTGGGGCCCCAAAATTGGCGATCGGAGCATCCCTAGTTAGCATAGCAACCGAAGCTAAACTAGGAGGCGTGTGGCGGCTTTAAATCTTCCATTTAAAGTGATGTTTAAAACTCAGTTAATGGGGCTCATTCACTGGAGCTTCCACAAACAACAATCAACTTAATTATTACATTCAAATTATGTATATTATTCAAGTTTACATTCACTTTGGATAATACCACGGGAGAAATGAGCAAGCGCTCTCTTTTCCTCTCTCTCCCCCTCTCTCTCTCTCTCTCCCCCCCTCTCTCCCTCTCCTGACAGCCCGTCAGTATCGTCTCATGCAGCTCGCTGATCCAGTAATGTCTGAGGCCGACAGTGAAGAATAAACATATTTATAACTAGTTTAGCTTGTTCCAGAGGTAGATAAAATAGCTAAGTGTGTTAGGTCTAACTCTTGTGTGTTTCGCTCCGCTCACCGGTCCGTCACAGCGGGTGGAGCTGCAGGATTTCTGCTTCACACACACGTTGCATACCGCTATTTTACTGTCTTTTTCGAACACCTTAAAATAATGCCAGACCGGTGAAGCCATTTTGGCGAGCTTGTTTTGCCGCGTACAGAGAAAAGTGTCATGTATTTTACGTCATGCGATCGGCCCTCGCGATCGGCATGTTTAGAGAGCACCGATCGATCGGTAGAGAGTGAGTATCGGCAGATCTCGATCGGCATCCCTAATGCTAACATCACCCATTTTATACCAGAGAAACTTTCACAACAGCGTTGTGATGCCAAACAGCGGGCAGCACTGCAGCGGTCGGTAAATGCCGCTGAACACATTAATAAACAATGAACCACGGCACTCTGGAGAAAAGTACAAGGGTTGAGAAGTCGTTATTTAATTTAATCTGGCTTCGTATGATTAAAAGCAACACGATCATCGACCCAACGCTGTTGGGGAGAAAATCAGCGACGTAAACGGTGACGTCATGACGCAGCAGCGGCAGCACCAGTCGGGCTCTGGGCGGTGTGAACAAAACGGGGGCTGAAAAGAAAAACCGGTTCCGATCCAGAAAAGCTCTAGCACGGAGCTAGAACGGGAACCGCGTTGGTGTGAAAGGGGCATGAGAGATATTTGGTTAAAAAGAACACAATGGTGCTCTAGGAGGAGATTCAGGTGATAAGGTGGGGGGGGGGGGGGTTACCTTGGTTGGTTATTGGCTAATGGTTACACAAGCCAAAAAATCGTTATGACATCATAAAGTGGCTCAAATCTGATTTTCAGACAGGTTTTTATAGAAATGGATCAGGACAAAAAGTGAGAGAATCTTTTTTCCTGAAACTTTCAGAATCTCTTCACACAGAGGGGACACATGTTTATGTATAAAAGACATGGAAAAGTGGATTTTGCATAATAGGTGACCTTTAAACCAACATCCCAATGTCAATGTAACAACTACAACAACTAAGAATACAAATAATTAGACTAAACTAAGCCATGCTGTATTTAAAAGATAAATGAGAAAGAAATATAATCTAGGGAGTACTAAGTAGTAGGTAGACATGTTGGGGTGTGGTTTGCGAGGAAAGCTCTCATCTCTCTCACCATGATTGGCAGCAGAATGATGATAGCTAATAAGTAAGAGGCTGACATTTGGATAGATAAGATGGAAATTCAGCCTGGGTCCAGTGTGTTTTTGTAATTGCCCCAGCCAGTAGCCTGTGATTGCAGCTAGCCTGAGTGGTCGGAGCTGTGCCTCTGGGGCTCAGAGAGGACATTTTCAGCTACAGACGAGCCCACTGAGATTAAGTGCCGGGCCAGACGGGGGTCAAATTGCTTTTAAAATGCCATGGGTCTCAAACGGAAGAGTCAAGAAACACGCCATGACTCTCTCAGGTGTTAAGCGGAGATTGGAGAAGTGGTTGTGATCGTTATATGAATTGTATAACTAAAACCCTGCTTGAGATTTATACAAGCCTTTATACAAGCCTTTCAAGAAACATGTAGGGAAGTAGGGATTTAAATGTGTCTTAAAAGAACCACCACTGGATAAAAGACAACTGTAGTAAGAAGTGTCCTCAGGAAACAGATCCTTTGCACCCTAACTGACCTGTTACTGGAGATGCCCATGCAACAAATATGTGTTCTGGCCATGTTACTGCATAAAAATGGGCCCTATTGTGCTTTTTGGGGTTTTCCCTTTCTTGTAGTGTTTTATATAGTTTTTTGTGAATGGTCTGCAAAAGCTAAAATCTCGGAGTTCACCTCAGGGGGTGCTTATCTTCTACACAATCCCCCCCAAAATAAAGCACTTTTTGAACATTAAAGCATGTAAATATGTCACAGTAGAGGCACACATACAAGTATGAACCTAAAAATGAACAGAATAGGGCCCCTTTAATTGAATACAATGCTTTGAGATTGCAGGTGCCTGGAAAAGGACTCTTGTATGCCATTGCATGACATTCTACACCTGAGAAGCTAATTAACATGCAAACTTAACTTTTCCCCAGTTAATGTTTGTGTGGTTCAAAAAGGAAAAGTGCAGGACGTGTTCACTGTTTCTAAGTTAGATAGAGAGTACAATTGATGTGTTTGTGTTTTACAGAGCAGGTAGAGTAACATACATAGCATCATTCTGTGATAGCAGAACATTTTACCACATTGAATTCATGCATGGGCAGTAATGTGTTACATGTTTGCTCAAGCAACATATTGCTGCCAGTGTCCAGTGTTCTGAGACGGATTGTCAGTACACATCAAGTATAGCGATTTAATAAACATGCTTGGTTCTCCCTCTGCTACTATTACTTTTAAAACGATATCCGACTAGGAAACAAGTTCTTAAAGTTTTCACCTAGATAGCCAGTCATGTGGTTACAGTTGAAGGGGTGAGGTTTGTACTATAGGAGTAACAATCAAGACTCATATGTAGAAACAACGGTAAAACAGATGAATAAATGAAATTACCGGCTTGTTTTTAACAAATGAACACAAACCAAATTCAGCACAATCTGTTCCCTAACCTTTAAAGTCGTATCAGATATTCCCTATCAGACCCCCTAAGAGACGAAGTTGACAGTCATGTTTGGAAATGCTCTTTGGTTCTCTTCAGACCCCCTGCTCACATCTGACCATCCGCAGAGCTTTGAGGCTGCAGCAGGTTCAAAGAGCAGGAAGTGCCAACACTCCTCTGTATGTCCAGGCCTTTCAGCTTCCCTTGTCAAAGAGCACCTCTGCTCTACTACAAAGACTTTGGGGCTGGCCCAGGTGCGGGGGCAGGAAATACAAAAAAAAAGATCTACAAAGGGTGCTGTTCCCCCTGATGTGTCCGAGGCCAGAGGATGAACAGAGGCAAGCGCTGCGGCAGAATGAGGGTCAGGTTGGGCATCGCTGAGTTTGGAGAGTCAACAGGCTTCTTTCACTTTGTTGATGACTGCACTATACTGGAGGCAGGGACGAGGTGCGGTGCAAATGAGACTTTTTAGGTTATTGATGATTCAAACTAACAGGGGAACTCAGGAGTAGAGAAACAGACAAAAGCAGCAACAAATGATTATTTTCATTTTCTATCAAACCATCTATTGTAAGGGTGTTAAAATGACCTAACGTAGCATTGAGACAAAGGCCATATACAACCCAAACTGAATTTAGCTAAATGTATATGTTGCCTTGCCAATTCACACGTTCCTATTTATTAAACTTGTACCCACATTAAGAAACTACTTAAGAAATATCAGCCTGACATTTATATTGCATTTGCAGTCAGTTGAACAGGAAGCAGTATTATAAAATGTTCTTGCCAAACTCGCTTGATGAATGAGCTAAATGTATATTAGTTCCATCTTTTTTGTATTAATTGATAAAAGCTGAAACTGACTCACCAATGTTCAAAAGTTTAACATTTAAATTGGATTTGTGCAGTTTTTGAAATATATTGCAATTCAGATATGATTTCCTTTGAAATCTTATTCATAATTTAAATGTTTTTAAATGATCTGTATCAAAAAAGGATTTATTAATAAGTCTGTAGAATACAGATTGTAGGTCGGGACTTCACCGCAGCTCTGAAAAACTTCGCATATTTTTCACATTTTGCCTTTACCAAATATTGCGCATTCCTTATTTGGATACAACACTAGTTCAAATTGTGATTTGGATATAATTAAGTGCAGACCAAGTTTAAAAATATAACAATGATGATCATAGAAATCAAGACATAAAATATCATAACTTTAGGTCGAACAGTCAGGAACGCAAAGAGACAAATCGGGAGAAAAAATCCATGTAAAACAAGATAGAAAATGTGAGACGTCTTTGTTTTAAATTGAAGGAATAGGCAGGCAGACACAAATCTGCGGCCTCCCAGGGAAACAGGCTGACTGTCTGCTGTATCGATGTCCCATTGATTCAGGCTTTGTGTCTCACAATCGCCCCCCCTCATCTCCTACAGAGCTACTTAATATGTTTGAGGGGCTCCGGCGCTTCTCATCTGTAAAAGGCAGAGCGCTTTTTCTTTTACCCACATTAGAGGTGGTGTTGATGGTGGTGGTGGTGGGGGGGGGGGGGGGGAAGGAGAATGGGTCGGTGTGGGGCGGGGTGGTGCTGCTCTGAAGTCTGCCTGGTGGGACCGGAGCTTTATTAGCTGGAAAGGAAGCCGGCGGAGTTGCGAGGGGCCTGAGAACTTGGATGAGAGGAAGCTTTTGAAACTTCCCATATCGGCATTAGAGAGATGAGCTGCTATTCAGCGCTCGCTCCCAGCCGGCACGTCCGGAAGTACACACTTTGAAAAAAACAAAACTTCGCATATCCAAGTAAGAAAACACACACACACACACTGGTGGATTTGTGTGCACATGCATTCGTTCATATCTAACAAACACACACACACACACACACACACACACACACACACACACACACACACACACACACACACACTATGGCTTCCTTTTTATGTGCTGGTCGGCAAGATGAGGCTGGGCTCTAATTGGTCCTGGGGGAGATTGGCAGGGCGAGCGGAGCAACGAGGAGGCCAGACAAACAACGGGAGGGGGAGTGGCAGGAAGAAGAAGGGCCACCGCTCCACAAGTAGAGAGGGAACCACAATGAGGGGGGATATAAATGAGCAGGGAAGTAGGCAGGATGAAGGAGGAAAGCACATTTACTCGCTTACAGTTAGCAGTAATGCACTTTTAATAAAGTGGTGGGATGCGCTACATACTTTAGTTTCCTGCAGGAAGTCGGATGAAATTAATTGATTAAACACAATGTCTCAATACTTAGCTAATTTCCCTTTAGTTGATTTCTCCCTTCCCCATCCACCCCTGTGAGTCCCAAAGGACATAGAGCAATAGATGCAGAAGGAGGGGAGATGGAGGTGTTGGGGGATGAAAGGAATATGTGATCAGAGGCTCTAACCTGCAGCCAACACCTTGGTCTTTCGCCCCTTCAGCAGTTTCTGCACCCGGCAGAGCTGCAGGTGGTTCTCATGGCGCCGGGTGTTGTCCTGGATGCGCTGGGACACGTCGCATATCGCAGTCACAGCACCTAGAGGAAGCACAAACACTTCTATTACCATACAAGTGAGGACATTCATCTGAGAGTCAGAATATAATAACTCTCTCCAAATACAGATATTCCTGTCTGCTTACATTTAAACTATTGAAATACATTTTCTGGAAAACTAAGTGTATCACAATAGTTTTTCATACGGCAAGAAAAAAAACTGGTTTAAAGAAAGATGTATGTCTCCCCCAAGAAAAAAAACTGCCACCATTTATTCACGCTGGCCAGCCATTGTTTGGATACTGGCTTTTATCTTAAAAAATATATAGTAATTTGAGTCCTACATTTACTTAAAGGGGCATTATTCTGCTTTTTGGGTTTTACCTTCTTTGAAATGTGTTATAACCAGGGGTGCACATAACTGGTACGCAGGTACGCATGCGCGGCAACAATCTGAAATGCGTACCGTCACTTGTGTCACAAAGCGCATTTGCGTACCGACGTACTTGTGAAGCTTTTCCAGAAGGCGGTTAGATCACCGGACGACAGAGTCGGTCTCCGTGAGCACAGACAGGGCTGCTGTTAACGTCGGTCTGTACAACGGAATTGTGCCAAAACTACGCCAACCGGCTGCGGAGGGAGACTCCCCCCCTTCACTGGAGAACTGCGCTAAAACAGCTGATCACAACGTTCATGTTCTGTGGTCACGAAGTACTCCACTAGCCCCCCCCCCCCCCCGTCGACTTTCCTGAAGTACTCCACTTGGACTTCTTTGTTTACTTCTGTAACATAGTGACATCACTTTGTAACACTTGCCCTACACATTGTACGTGATAGGCTAAGGGGCGGGACTCTTAGCAGTTGACCAATCCCAACAGAGCCTGCCAGCTAACCAATCAGAGCAGACTGGGCTCTGGTTTCAGACAGAGGGTGAAAAGAGGTGCTGCAGCACAGGCAGTATGAGGAAAATAAAGAGCTTGTTGAACATTAGAACATGTTGAGAAGTCACGGAGGCAGAACATACAAATATGAACCTTAAAATGAGCATAATATGTCCTCTTTAATTTACTAAGAAATATATGTCAATACACCAAAGTGTAAAGCCTCCCACTAAATGCTACAGACACACAGATCTGTCAACCAGTTGAAATCTTTGTAGTAGGGACTCTTTCAGCATGGCAGCCTGTTTGAGTTTGATTTCATCTGCAAGAAATTAAAGAGAATGCAGCTGTGCAAATTAAAACATTCAAAGAGTGCTGATTGGGCCTCATGGTGCCGAGGGGCTCCGGCGGGGTTATGCACTGTGTTTGAATGTGTGCATAGGGGACGCCTAACCCTGGTCATATTAATTAAGAGGGATGCTGGTCTCCACCACAGCCGCCCTTGTAGCCCATAATCCATTGCTTCTTCGCAAATCAGCTGAGCTGTCAGAATGTAATTGTTGGCAAACAACAAGCAGCCCCACATCATTGAACAAAAGCCAATGCACCTTGGTTTAATGTACTTCGCTTCCTCCTGGTTTTCAATACTGATTGTTTTTTTTTTTAATGTTAATACAACTGTTAATGGAATAAGAGTCGACAGTCTCAAACTTTTTTTTGCACAAAGCTTTAAAATCTAACCAGAACAAATAAGCAAATCAGCAGAATAGACAGACGCATCCAATTACTGTGTGCCAGCCATAATAATGGCTGTAAACATTTAGAACTACATCATTAACGCGTCCAAAATAACAACAAACAGATGGATTCTCATTTCAGGCTCAACTTTTCCTCCTTTTGTTTCCGAGCAATGAAACTCAGCGGATGAACTTGATCCTCAGGGTGACTCGTCTACACTAAAATAATCACGGCCTAATTGGCTCGCTTAACTTCACAACAGTTACAATGTAAACCAAACAAGGCATCCGTGTAGACTTTTTTTCCCTTTGTTGTACGTGTTTGGAATATTTTCCATTGCCTGCTTTAGAAAAACAACAACTCCTAATTACAGCATTCTTGGGTTGAGCTCTGGCCGAGGCATTAATAATACATCTGGCGCATTAGACTTTCTGAAGTGTCCTTCTTACGGCTCTTTATTGCATTTATTCACTATTTAGACACTGGTTGACCACTGCAGGAGGACGGTTCACTTTTATTGTTAAAGAGAGTTAAGAGTTGCATCAGGTCGTGGTGGAGAGTATTAAAGCGAGGCTGATGGAAAACTCCTGAAGCAATGCAATTACAACAATTAAATCCTGCCTGAATGCACCGTGAGGGGAAGAAGGGGGCTTGGGGGGAAGGAAACACAGAGGAAGAGCAAACTGACACAGAGCAGCACAACAATAGAAAACAACAACAACGAAGCCTCTTGTGATTCTATCTGCTAGTTTGCTTAATCATATACAATGTGATTTGTCTGGAATTTCTTTTTTTAAATAATTCCCTTTACAATACAACCGGGCTGAGTATAGGATGTTTCACACACACACACACACACACACACACACACACACACACACACACACACACACACACACACACACACACACACACACACACACACACACACACACACACACACACACACACACACACACACACACACACACACACACACACACACACACACACACACACACACACACACACACACACACACACACACACACACACACACACACACACACACACACACACACACACACACACACACACACACACACACACACACACACACACACACACACACACACACACTTGCAGCAGAGTTTAAAAAAAGGATCTCTAATGAGAAGAGGAAGAGGCGATGTTGGAGCACATTTAGATATGTACCTTCATCTTAGAGTCAGGGGCTGTTTTAATTTGTAAGCAAAGGCAGCACACCAGCAATGAGATTTTAATTGATACACATAAATAATTCCTTGTGTACATTCGCACTTGAGTCAGATTCGCTGTTTATTTGACGATTGAAATTAGTCATTATCGGGCTCCGTGTTGATGCTGAAGATTTTATTTATTAATATAGCTCCCGCTTAATATCCTCTGATCCGCTCCCAATTAATTATGTCAAAATCCACATCAAAACTAGAACTTACACGCATATTGAGCTCTGCCTCGCTTTCATTCCTCTGCTAGCCAAGCGCTGCTGTGACAATAACAACAAATGAGGAATGAAAGGGAAAGAGAGCACTTTTTCTTTGTTCCTCAAATGAAGATAATGAGGGCTGTCTCTCCCTGTGACGGAGTCTGACTGCTGAGATGAAAGTCGCCGCAGGTTGGGTTTGTTTTCCAGCTGTTGGAGGAATGGCCTAACATTCTATAATTGTGCAGCTTTACTTAACTCCAAATTGTTTGTCACAGGAAGGAAGAGATTGCACTGTGAGTGAGCCAAAAGGCTTTGTGGCTAGTGATGCAAAACACATCTTCCCACACTCATCACTTGTTGTTAGGTAACAAACCCCAACAATCCTGACAGATTGCAAGAGGAAGAGGTGACAACAACATCAACCGCATCTTCACTTGTGTGCAAATGTGAGCAAGGAGTCTATTTGCTCCCCTCTTGAGGTGCATTCACTGCATAACGTGATTTAGCTCTTTGCTTCAAGTTTCAGATTTGTATTGTGTGTCTCTGCTGTGACATGTTTCCATGCTTTAATGTTCAAAAAGCTCTTTATTTTTCTCATACTACCTGTGCTGCAGACCCTCTTTTTGCCCTCTGACTGAAACCAGAGCCTAGTCAGCTGTGATTGGCATCTCTGTTGCGGTTTGTCAACAGCCTAGAGATGTCCCGCCCCTCAGCTTATTATGTACAGTGTGTTGGAGTGCTAGCCAAAAGAAACGTGAGTGTTACGCAGTGATGTCACGATGTTACGGAGGTAGAAAAAGGACTCCAATGGAGGCGAGGCAGGAAGGGTGGGAGTGTGTTGTAGAGAAACTTTGGGATTTTAGCCTTTGCAGACCATTTACATGTACACAACAGGGTTCATACACTTTTTCACCAATGATTTTCAATGACTTTTCCATGACTTCTCCATGACCTTTACCTAATTTTCCATGACCAAAACAATTACTCTTTCTCAGCGGTACCACATGGAACAGGAAAATAAGGTCTGCATATGAAACATGTTGTGCCTATCTAAAACAAATCAAATAGTAGGCTTACTAGCTTCTACACGCTAAAGCAACTCAAATCTCTCACCAGCAAAATACCTCAACAGTTAAATGCCATTTTACATTTCATTACTATACGATACAGTATTTATTATCATTATAGTATTACTATTTTGGCGATTAGATAAAATATAAATTATATTTGATGCAACTTTAGTTACATTTCCATGACTTTTCCAAAACTTTGGGAAAAATATTGTTTTCCATAACTTTTCCAGGGCCTGGAATTAGCATTTTGAATTTCCATGACTTTTCCAGGTTTTTAATGACCGTAAGAACCCTGACACAAACCTATATTACACACTACAGGAAAGGGGAAATCCCAAATAGCATAATATGGCCCCTTTAAGTTTTCAGGTAAGGTTCAAGGCTTTTAATGGCCATACGTACATAGCTACAGTGTAGTTATGACGACGAAAATCTTAGGTCACAGGCTCCACCAACAGTGCAACACAATAAAAACTGAAAAAATAGTGCAAGAAAAAAATGAAAAGTTTTGTTTCTATAGCTACGTTTGCTTCTAGCTTGCGGCACTTCATACAGCTGTCATCTGATTGGTTGCTTGTCAAAATGTCAGCGGTAAAACAGGTCAAAGTTGAAATAATTTGAACGTCAATAGTAGCTCCCTCCATAGAAACACAATGGCAATGTCAGCACGAAGCCGTTTTACCGTTTGTCATTTGAATGCAGCTTTGAAGCATGAATCTGAAGATAATTTCCCCTTGAAATACAGAAAATGTATCACGAAGGCAGCAGCATGATCAGAAGAAAAAGAAACCTACTTGAAAGCTGCTGAAACTCTGGGTTGTCTGGACTTGTGTTGGCAGTCAGGTCCTGTAGGAAGTGTTTATACCTGTTAGAAAAATAGAAAACAAACAAGGTCACTGTACGCTCAACATCTACACATATCACTGGAAAAAGTGACGTGCTCGTGTATATGGATGAAGGAGAATAAATGTAGTGCTTTAAAAAAATCTCCAGGAAAAACACACGGGCTGATTTAAACTCCTGAGTGATACAGATGGAGAGAGCAGGTTTTGCTTTGCGGAAGTGTTGATGCTGACAACATCTGACAGAAACAGCTGTAACACATCTGCAGTGGATTTACTTGAGCCATCTTCAGACACATTGCTTCGAAGAAAACTAAAGTAACACAACAGATTTTTTTTGCATCTGAAGTAACAGTTTAAGCTTCCTTAGAAATCTTTATCCTTTTAACCAGGATGATGTGACCTTGAAGTGCATTGACAATCGCCATTGATTTCCACTGTGTCTGTCTGCCTGTGCAGCACCTCTCTCTGTGCAGTCTGGGCTTGTTTGAGAGACATAGTGGTGCCACTGAGAGAGGCTATTAGTGATACTGAAAGACTGTACACCACTGCTACTGGTCCATGTGGTGGCATGAGTGGGGTGAGATGTGTTGGAGAGTGTGATATGGACTGTGTGTAGAGAATATAACAAGACAATGACCATTTTTTAAGCTGCACTAGGACATTTTCTTGCTTGACTGAATGCTTATGATTTCACTGCTTAGTCATTTTGTCTGTAACTCAGCCGATTTCTTAGTTTTAGGATAATCAACTTCCCAGGACAAGTACTTACTCAACACCATTATTTCAATTTCATTAGGTCATAAAAGTTTAAATGAGATGAATCCAGAGTTGTCCCTTCATTTGATTGAGCCTAATCGGACGTGACACTGCTGTGATGCAGCAGCTATGAGGCATGGTTTTAGGAAAAAGCAAAGGAGCATGCTTTCGGCCCAATGATGTGCAAGATTGACAGAAGAGCCAGGGAGCATCTCAGGCCATTTTGGCTTTATGTGCCACCAAGCAAGGAATGAATGGAGTCGCCTCCACTGTGTATTAGGGATGGGAATTTGAAAGCAAATGTATATTCGAATATTCGACCCCCCAAAAAACGGTTAACCGATTAACCGAAATGTACATATCCTATAAAAAAAAAAAAAATGTGGGAAATTGTTTTCCAAAAAAAAAAAAGAATAATAATAATTTTGAAAAATAAATACATGTTCAAATAAGTATAGAAACCAAGTCGAATTTGTCAAATTGATTGAACTGGTGACCACAGTTTGAACAGTTGACAGTTATAGGCCTACAGCTTTCATGCTTAAAACATAACTTGGTTTTTAAATGAAAGAGGGATCATACACGAACAACATAACGGGTTAGGGTAACGTAACCCTATTACAACAGAGATCAACAACCTATAACAGGGCCTATGCACAGAATGCAGCTATTCAATACTCATTCTTGTTTAAGAATATGAGCATGTCTACTCAGGGGAGAGGCGGGTGCGGAGGCGATTCACATTCAGGCCAGCTGTAGAGAAGACCCTCTCAGCTGGAATTTGGGCATAAGATGAGGTTTGAGTCTGCGTGATCTGCGTGTAGGGAGGGGCAGCAGCCATATCATTAGCTAGAACTAGCTAGATCTGATGGATTTGGACATAAACGCGAGTGAAGTATAACCGGACGCGAGAGAGAGAGATCAGCACCTGCAGCTCTGCCCGTTGTGAGGGACTGGTGAGCGGAGCAAAACACACCTTTAGACATTTAGCTATGGCACTGTCGTATACATTGAATTATTCCATTTGATAATATGTAATCAACTTAGGCACCCCTGCCAAAAAAACAAAAACAAATTATAATAAAAATATTCATAACTCATATTCGAATACCTGAATAATTTCGAATATTTGATTAATCGTTCCCATCCCTACTGTGTATCCTTTAAACATCAATGCTCCAGACCAATAGATACAAGAAGTGGTTGGTCAGAAACCCAACCCGACTTTAAAAAAAACCTCTACAGAAGCCAGTTTTCTAAATCTGCCTGTCCATAGACCAAGATATCTGTGGTTCAACCCTTGCAACAGGACCTGCCCTGAGAGGAAGACTGAAGTGGTGTTTAACATCACTAAAACAGCAGGAGACGATTCAATTCAGAAACAGACAACCGAAGCGAGGAGAAAGAGAAACACAGCGCACCGAAAAATACCTCCAAATCAAACGTTTGGCAACACTTGTTGATGGGATGCGCAGTACTAGTAGAGAGAACCAAATATGTGAAGCACTTTTTTGTTAATGTATGATTTGCTGCATATAAGGAATAAAACAAAAATCCTCTGTCGTACCATATTGAAGTATCATTATTTTGCATCGTGTTGAATCACATCGTATCGCCCCGTATCGCATAATGTTGAATCAAATTGTATCGAACTGTATCGCAACAGGGGTGAATCGTATCGTATCGCATCGCCTGGTGTTTCAAAGGTATCGTTAATGTATCGTATCGTTGGCAACGTATCGAGATGCGCATCGGCATCGGCCTCAGTGATGGAGATGCACATCCCTAGCGGCCAGACAAAGATCAAGGAGGAAATTCATATCCGACACCTGAGATGACAAAGTCGCTATTCTCCCCACCTTTTCGCGAGGCAGAGGTTTCATATCTTGCTCCTGTGTTAACTAACCCAGTAGCTCCTTGAAAACTGAGAAACACCATCCACTCAAGATAGCCTTGGGGTATCACTAACAACTTGAACTGAAACTAACCTGGTCAGGTGTGTTTGTGAAGCATTACCAATCATTTCTAGAGCGGAAGTACAGAACAGCAGGTTAGCAGAGCGGTGGGTATGTGGGAGGTGGAGGGCATGTAGTCGATTACTCATTGGAAGGGAAACGAAAGCCAAACAAGATCCAATTAAGCCTCCTCCAATTAAGAGACGCTTAAAGAGAGAAATAATTTCACTCCTTTCCCTTCTTGTCTCCTCTTGTACTAACAAATACATTACAGGCATTATTAGCGATGGATGCCCTCGTTCCTATTAAGGAGTGGAGACGAAAATCTAATTAAAGCAACAAAAAGGGAACACTCTAATGAGCATTATCACGGCACATTTCAAATAATGTAAACGGAACTCTCTCGTTTAGCTGCCCTGTCCCGCTCATTAGCAGCAAAGCAAAGAGAAGATAATGAGACAATAGCGTAATCTGAACCATATTTATGACAGTTCAGATATTCTAATGAAGAATGCAGCTTTAGAGAAGCATGCGCTGGCGGAGGGATGTGTTTGCGGCTGCTAATTCCTTTATAATATGCAGATGATATGCAAAGGCTTTTCTCTCACTCTCTCCTGGCACACATGTCAGGTCATTTGGGCATTTGCACACACGTCAGTAAAGGAAAAGAGACGGAGGAAATATCTGTCTAATTATTTTTACTTCCCGTACATGCATTAAGGATTCAAATGTGTAATTAAGAGACAAGATGCGCTGGCAGGCTTCTGCATGGGTTACTGAACATGGCATGGGCTTGTGGGTAATTACTCAACTTTAATAGCTTAAAAGGAAAGGAATGCACATCCGTGGTAAATGCAGGAGACTAGAGATACTCCACTGTCCAAAATTGAGCAATTAAAATGTAATATGAAGTGATTGTTGAGAGCATCTTATCTTTCACTGTAAGGGAATTTACTCAAAGAGAAAAGGATGTAGACATTAGGAAACACTTTTCAGTCAAACTTCAGAAGGACAAGAGCTTTTATTACCGATTGCTGCTGCATAAGACAACCTAAATCGGTGAGAAAATTAGAGTCGGGCAGTTTTAAGTTAATACGGGAAATAATTAGGGCTGCCTCATGAACTTTGATGATTACTATCATCAGTAAAGAATCCTGTCAGTCGAGGCATCAGACTTGTTTTTCTTCACTTTATCATTAGTCGCTTTTGAGAGAAATTTAGCAAAATGTCCCTTCCACAATATGCCTCCCACCCTTTTCTTACACTGAACCAACGCAGCAGGACTACTTTTTACAAACAGTCTTGACTAAAATCTGGTTTCTGGTAAGTGGGCTGAGTGATATTCTCTGTTGGGAAATGTTCAGCACTCGTAAAGCCTTTTTTTTAAAGGCTCAAACCTATGATTCAGTGTCATCCTTTTGAAATCAGTCTTTCAATAGTGCTTTATGGACAAAGGAAGCATCTTTGAACACAGTATCTACTTCGTATATAATCTACTTTAAGTGTATTTAGTGTAAGTCAGGGTTCATACACTTTTTCCCCAATGACTTTTCCATGAACTTTGCCTAATTTTCCATGACCAAAGAAATTACTCTTTCTCAGCGGTACCACTGAAAATGGTTTATTTTAACATGGAACAGGAAAATAAGGTCTGCATATGAAACATATTGTGCCTATCCAAAACAAATCAAATAGGCTTACTAGCTTCTACAGGCTAACCCCTAGATTCCACCGGGTCCGTCTGCGCCGCGGTTTTGGTCCGGCCTCCTCCGGCGTCATACCCTACCAGGCGCGTTTCAGAAGCATTTCAGAAGCGAAGCGTCTTGCCTGCCGGCTCGCAGTTTTTGTTGATTTGGGCATATTTCCTGGACAGGCTACTTTGTACAGACAAAGTTAATAATAACTGTAATATTCCAGTTATAAACGACATGAATCAAAGACGTGTTGCTGTATTTTAGTGGTAAAAAAATGCATTCATCATCATAATTATTCTATATATATATAATTTACACAGTGCCTGTAAACCGGAGGAGAACGCTGGCATTTCTCCTCCTACTTGAAAGACTACGGAGGGATAGGGTCTGCAAAATTAGTTTGTGTGTGTGTATATATATATATATATATGCTATATATGCTCTGAACGTTCCACTTCCTGCCTGCCCGACCTTACGTTACGGCTGCGCCGCGTCAAAAATAGGATTCGTCCTAATTTTAGAGGAGCCCTGCACCGAGCCGCTTCTGGGACGCTTCTGAGCCGTAACGCGCCGCATGTGGTGGAATAGCACCCATTGACTAGAGTGGCCGCGATCGCCGCGAGCACCGCGGCGCAGCCGTAACGCGCCCGTAACGCGCCCGTAACGCGCCGCAGACGGACCCGGTGGAATCTAGGGGTAAAGCAACTCAAATCTTTCACCGGCAAAATACCACGTCAGTTAAATGCCATTTTACGTTTCATCATTACTATACGATACAGTATTTATTATCGTTATAGTATTACTATTTCTGCGATTAGATCAAATATAAATTATATTTGATGCAACTTTAGTTACATTTCCATGACTTTTCCGAAACTTTGGGAAACATATTGTTTTCCATAACTTTTCCAGGGCCTGGAATTAGCATTTTGAATTTCCATGACTTTTCCAGGTTTTTAATGACCGTAAGAACCCAGGTAAGTATGCTGCTTTCACATGACAGGTAATTAAAGGTACCAAAACGAACTGGTATACTTGACATGTTTTAACTTAAAACAGAGTTGGCAGACAAAACAATTATTCGATTAATTAATTGCATTTCAACTTTCAAACACTGGAACAATTTGACATGTTTTTATTTTTAGTTTATATTTCTTTGATTCGGGAAAGTAGCATGGAACAAAGTTGGTGAGACTGATGCCTATGAGGTAAAGTTGATCTGTTCTCCGCTTGTCATCATAACTTTATAAGAGCCAACGTTTATATATTTCATTTAAATTTGTTCTAAGTAGTTCAATATTCGGACAAAAAAATAATAGTGTACCAGACTGATTGTGATAGAGCATGTCAAACCCAGGGGTTTTTCTAGAAAAATATAGTATGAGGACGCTAATGTCACTTCCGGACAAAATTACGGCCCCGCCCACTTCCCGGTAAAGAAAATGCATAGAGCGCAGCGGAAAATTATAGTTTTGGTATGAGGGCGCACGCCGGAAGAAAGAGGGCGCAGCCCTGATAATCCCAATATTAAACCTTATCTTGAGCTATGAAATACTGTTTCTACATTCAGGGTGATTTAAATCAATGGATGATTCACAACAGAACAATGTGTCACACCATAATTGAGACACTGCTTCTTTGCAAGCCTCACTTCAAACTTGGCAATGAACTACTGGGTGAATTAACAGACAAAGTAACGCAAATGATTGAAAAGGAAACACAACCTGAAGATGAACCATTGAGAGGAACTACTCAAGAAAAAAACTCCATGCTATATTCAGAATTCTTTCAAAAGAAATTAATCAATGTTCTGACCTTGTGTAGGAGAACCTCATTGTGTTCAGCTGTTTGGAGGGGATGGAACTACCCGAGCACATAAAGTAGTCCATTTTAAATCCCATCTTGACAATTGAAAGACAAAATCAAGCATGGCCAGCGCAGCTCCACACAACGCTCGGCAAGTATGACAATGACCCCGAGACCTTTACATAGAGCCTACTCACTCTCTACAGTGAGACGACCATTGGGCCGTTCCCTTGTTATACTAAATGGTGCTCAGCTTAGAGCAAATACATCCCAAGGCCTCCAAGTGCTGCCATCTTTATGAGAGCTGCATCTCTATTATCGACACAACACGGCCAACACAGGCGTTAAGGGCTGCTATTCACCGCAACAATCAACTCGAGACCCCATCGCTGTCATAATTGTGATCTCAGCGGGGAGGAGGCCGATCACTGCTCCAGCCGGCTCTAGTGAATGCCACTTAATAAAGGCAATGATTTTATTCCTCCCCCAGCAGCAACATAAGTATCCACACTCTGGGCTCCTGCTCGCCATCCATCATCCTTGAATGGCGATAAGTGACAACAATTTCCTGCTATTCCCGTCCACGGAGCCGGAGCAAGGTGAGGCGCCAGACGCAGATGATTATCTAGCCTTGCCACTTAAAATCATCCGACAATTAGACACTTCCCTCGAGTCTCCTGAGTTTCACCGAGAACGACAGACAAATCAATGATGATGATGGGTAGTGCAGGGAGGAAAAGGCGGAGGGAGAGCAGGAGAGAATGAGGCCGACTGATTATGTGTCAGAGTCAAATACAACAGTGGTCAGCATACTCATTGGAGAGTACTGTCATTTCCCCTATTGGTTTTATAACAAGCAAACAGGCCTCCCACACTGGTAGAGAAAATATTGAAAGATATTTTCAAATGCATTAAGACTTGAATATAGCAGACGTAGGGCTGTCACAAAATGTGATAATCATGGCCAAAATACATAGGATAACAATATTATCGCGATGGGGCCGACACCGTACAAATTTAAGTACACTTCAAATTGTGCTACAGGTGATTTTTGTTAAAGGGACATTATGAGTCCTGTATATACCAGCTAAGGAAAATACTCATACATAGGTAATCTTTGGTTATTTTCCTTTGAAATATAATATTGTTGACAATATAGTTCCTTTATTGTTTCTTTCAAATTGTACTGTCCTATATTTTAAAATCGATTTTAATTCAAAATCTTTGACTTACTTATCCCCAATGGAGATTAATTTTCCCTTGGGGATTAATTAAAGGGTCATCTTTTTCTTCTTCATTTGTGTGTAGTATAGAGGGGGCTAAAACTGTGTTTCATTGCATAAACTCTGTCAGTGATGGAGAAAATGTCTCAGAATTGTCTCAGAATACTCGACTGATTTAAATGTGGCATAGTGGCCATCACGCTGATGGCAAATCATTTGTATATCATCAGCATGGACAGTTTCATTCATCAGGATACACATCACTGTGTCTAAAATTGATGTGCACCAAGGCTCCAGAAAAAACACATTTTTATCACATGTGCTTCCAGGATCAGCACATTGTAGCGACCAGGAAGTCTAATTCTGGCATCTCTGATCCTATCACTGTTACAGAGACACATTCATTGCCAAATAAGTTGCTCTATTTCCAGTTGCAGCCCTTCACAACTAACAGTGGTCTGATGAAATTACCCAAAAAGGAACAGTGGAGTTGATCAAGTTAAAATACCAGCCTGCAGTTTTAGTTGACCAATGATTTGACAACACACCTGAAGTGTACAACTACATAAAATCCCTTCTGATAAGGGTTTACAGAAAAACAGAGAACATTTTATAAGGACTGGAAACAAGCATTCGACAGTCCCTCATTCTCCCAGAAGCGTGGGAGCAGTGAGAAAAGGAATGGACAGTGATTGATTGTCGGGGAGAAAGTAAACATAAATTAAATACACAGCTAAGTGTCCAGTTGTTAAAGTGAAGGGGGATCTCAGAGAAAACGTCCCTCTTGCATGATGTAACATTTAGAGTGCTCAACTGTACATCTGTCGACATGTGAACACGAGAAGAGCCTAATTAAGATACAAACAAGCAGCTTGACAATCCATTGTCAGATATCCGCTGCATTGGTACGCACGTTTCAGCCCATTTCTCCCCGTTCCACTAATTAACAAGCAAAATCAAGACCGCATGAAATTACAGCCAACGGAAACTTATGCTTAACAAAAGAGATTTTTGACAGTTTGTAAACAGTTGGAGTACTTAAATGGCTACTACATCAAATAATAATAATTGCGTCTGTCACAAAGACTATAGATTGTGCGGTGCGGCGGGTGACTAGTGATAGGAAAACAAGTAACAGAAGTCAAGCATGGAATCTGTGACCCATCTCCTCTGTGCTCTCCACGGTGGAACAACAACACGATAACTCCTCCGCAAACACTTAAATGGTGTTTAAGTAAAACAAAGAGATATTTTATATCACTTCAGCATCAATTACAATGAGATAATTGAAAACGTGCTGTAAACATTTCCCTTTAGCTATATTAAAGTTCACAAGTTCTTACACTGTAAGAGATCAAGTTGTTGATTTAAAAGACATTACACCATGGGAACACTGATGAATATGATGTTATATTCATGTATCATAACATAGGAGGCTAGGATAGAATTCGCACGCACTTTGTTTTATATTATATTTTATATATTGTTTCATCGACTCAGTTGTCTTAATCCGAGGGGAATTTCTTGTTGATTGTTTTTAACTTGTGATGTGTCATTATGTAAAGCACTTTGAGCTGCATGTGTTGTCTGAAAAGTGCTATATAAATAAAGCTTTATTATTATACTTATTTCTTATACTGACGTGTGTGCGTGTGCGTGTGTGTGTGTGTGTGTAGCGACATCAGTCATGTTGAAGTGGTTGATAACATGAATCTTTAAAGAGGCCCTATCGTGATTTTTGAGGTTTTCCCTTTCCCGTGTGTTGTATAGGTTTTAGTGCATGTAAATGGTCTGCAAAGGCTAAAATCCCAAAGTTCACATTTCTCTCCCACACACTCATTGGACTACTTCATTCGGGTCGTCTAATTCAAAGAAAAAAACAAAAATCTTACTGATCAATCCTCAGAACCGGAAGTTGAAGTAACTCCTCCAGTGTTTGGTTTTTGAACTCTTCTCGGGCTTCCTGCAGTTTCTTAAAGCGTCTGAAGGCCTTGTTTTTCTTCAGCTGGATCTAAAACAAAAAAAAGTTGTGAAGTTATTCTCCGATAGGTACAAAGTAATGACATTTTCTAGGGATTTCTTGAGCTGTTCCATATTTTGGGATTAGATGGAAACACATTTCTGATTAGCACATATCACTAAAACCACCTATCCAAGAGAAATCACATCTAAACAAGGCTTAAAGGTCACCTATTATGCAAAATCCACTTTTTCATGTCTTTTATACATCAACATGTGTCCCCTCTGTGTAAAGAGATTCTGAAAGTTTCAGGAAAAAAGATTAGCTAACTTTTTGTCCATTTATATAAAAACCTGTCTGAAATGAACTGATCAGATTTTGGCCACTTTATGATGTCATAACGATTTTTTGGCTTGTGTAACCATTAGCCCATCACCAACCAAGGTAACCCCCCCCTACCTTATCCCCTGAATCTCCTCCTAGAGCACCATTGTGTTCTTTTTAACCAAATACCAAAACCAATGCATGATCTGTTTGGTATTTCGAGCAAAACACTTCACAGACATGTTTGTATATATCTGAGACCTATAATATATTGATGACAAACGGTATAATAGGGGACCTTTAAAATAACATTTTTAAGACTGCACTTCATGTAACTACACCTTTTTCATGAGCATTTAATCAGAAACACAGCATCCCATCTGTACTTTCTGCATGTTTTTGGCTCACAGCATCTGCATGCAGCTTGTTGACGAGTAATGTCACATGTCACAGCCAGTGACGACCCCTGCATCTCATGTCACTTTCTGGATGCGTTCTCTCCCTGACAAGACCCCACAATCGTCTCGTTGTCACTCAATATTCTAGATTTCCAGCTGAGGAATGAGGAGGTGAAGGGAGGCTGTGGGCATTATTAAATATGCATTTATACATCATGTCAGCACGAGTGTATGTCAACATTTGCACGACAAAAGCCTTATCTTGTCATCCCCGTAAATCATCAAAATAAACATGGCTGCTGAATTTAAATAGACCTGAGGATAGCTAATTCATAACTCGGGAAACATCAGTGTATGCCACTTGACTTTAGATGCCATCTGTGGTACGCAGACAGGTGAAGAAGAAGAAGAAGAAGATACACTTTATTGGTGTGTAGGTAGAGTGATGTGGACAATGTGAGAGGAATCCCTTATCAGGTTGAGGAGGTGTAGTAGTGACAGAGGGAAGTCAGGGTGTAAATCTATTTGGATTTAGTGTTGAAGGTTTCCAACTTCGAGTATAAAAACAAATGTTACAGCACTGGATTAGACACACACAGCATCAATCACATTAGATTTCTTTAGCCCATTATTTTATTACAGGCCTAACATGGTCAGACTGATGTGGGTCATAGATTAATCTTCTTAAGACACTGAGTGGTTTCTACTAGAAGCTTGCTCATTGGTCACCTGAGTAAACGAGCACACCTGTCACTACAACACGCTTCCCTGTTCAGTCAATCACAATGGATGTCGATCTGCAGCAGGATCAATGCAAACTTACAGGGCTTGGTACGTAATCGATGCAATTAGTCAACGTTCCGCTGACACATCATGTCTCATAATTAAGACAATATTATCTTTTCAGCTTTGATGCGAAGCTACTGTAGCAAGACGTCAGCATGGCTAATCCACAAACAAAGCAGAAAGTTGTACTGTACCAGGATTGATTTTATGGAAAGCTGTGTTGAAATGTGCTGGGGTAAAGTTTAAAGGAATATTACAACAGTTTGGGAAATATGCTTGTTTTTCTTCTGAGATTAAGATGTGTGACATCAATCAATCGTGTCTTGTGAAAAGTATGTAGATCGAGTCAGGACGTGCTAGCATAAGAACTGGAAGCACGGGAAACTTTGTATGGAGTTTAAAAGTACACCTACTGACACCTTGTAAGCTCACTGACAATCAATTCAGCAGGCGTTACATGCGGAAACGATTTCTCGACAAACAATAAATGCATCCGCCCATTACTTCTAAAGTAAAGTCCATAAAGACTAAAGTTACTACACCCATAAGTTGTTCGCCAAGAAATAGTTCCAGCATGCGATTTCTAGTAAAACTATTTAGAGTTCATAATAGAACCATATAACCAATTTATTTGGAAAGTAGATTGCAAACTAGTTCAGCAATGCTATACATGAAAGTGTTGCCATTGCATCAGCTATGGAGTTGATAGTCAGCAACAAAGAATCAAGTGAACGCTGTGAATTTGAAATATTAACTACGAATCATTGGTCAGTATGCCAACAGAGATAAATCTAATCGAATGTAATGTGTGAGAGAGCAGTGTGTTTACATGTGGAAGTACTGTGTTCCTACCGTGAGCGCTTTTCTGGCTTTGTAGATGTTGTCCGCATACGTGTTGTAGTGGGAAAGGTGGGGACAGAATTGCTCAAAACCGCGGCCAAAGTAGCTGTTCTCCAAATGGACCAGCAGAGATCTGAAAAAAATAAATAAAAGTTTACACATAATCAAATAGAAAATCTGTTGAACGACTCCAAAAAATTGAAATATAAACAGCTGAGATTTGTATTATAAATCAATATTTGTTTTAAGTGCTTCTGGAGATAAAAGGTTTACATCAGCTATTAAAGCATCTGGAAACATAGCATCTACTTCATAAAGGAACCACAAGTCCTATAGTTTATTTTACCGAAAGTGTTGTCAGCATTGGTCAGAAACATTAGATTTCTTTACTCCTCAAAGTCCAGTAGGATTAAATAAAAAAACTTCATACATTTGTACAACATGCTGACCATGGCATGCAAACAGGCAGCCCTCATTACTGAATCAGAAAACATGCCTATTTTAACCCAGGACATGGCAGAGGTAAGTATCTCAATATGTGCGGCATATTTTTGTGCATCACAGATCTTTGCCGCGTTAATTTTCAAAGTGCCCCCCAGTGAGCACTTAGCCTGCAGTCAAACCGCATTGGACTTTGAGTTAGTGCACATTACTGTCTGACAATGCACTGCTGCTCCGCATCAGTGGGAAAAAGGGAGCTCAAATAAGGCAAGATCACATCTGAGGCGTCGTTTTCGGCGAAGACACACTTGTTTAGAAAGAGTGCGGAGGTTGAGCAAAGTTCAGAGGATTGCTTCCCCGGGAAGTTTAGCGGGCGAGGCTCCGCGGTTTTCATTTGAAGGCCTCTCCCTGTGGGTGTCGTATTTACTCGGGACCAAGACGGTGGGTCTACCTTCAGGGCCACTTTGTAGTGAGAACACGCCACGCTGAACTCAGGAACAAAACAACTGGATCAAGGCGGAGGCATGGCAGTCGTTCAGCCTTGTCAGTCCCATTACAGTAACACGGACGCAATTGGTTGGGGGTGTTGACACTTGTGAAGGAGCTTGTTATCCAAACTTAGAGGAAGTACCACACACACAAACACACATACACACACACACACAATCCTACCCTCTAATGATGTTCCCAGAGACTTCTATTCGTACATGCAGAAAGAAGGAGCACTTTGCCGTTGAAGTTGATTTAAATAGATTTTAATGAAGTTGTGCGCCAAGGTAGCCTCTGTTCATAATCAGGAGATGCAGGAGCAGCCGAGAGAGTTCTAACGAGGGCAAAGGGCGGCAAAAACTGTGTTTCCGTTTTTTTTTCTCCCTCTCACTGCCAGAGGCTATTATGATAAATATGAAATTATGGATTACATTTTTTATGCTTTTTTTCCGCAGCAATTAAATTGTCTGGCCATCAGCAGCAGGACGGAGATAGCATTAGCATTCTACGCGTGTCGCTTTAATCCACATTAATTCCGAGCGGTGGCGACATCTGGGGCGGATGCAACCTCGACCAAACAATTCAGGACAAGGCGCCTTGGTTTGGGGGACGTCTTCAACAGGGGAATACTAATTGTTAGGACACAGTGTCACATAAACGGCTACTTAATGAAATAACGGTTGCTATGTGTCACTGAGAAGAAACAAAGCAGTATAAAAGCGTTTTGTTGCTTCGCTTTAAATGTAAGATGAGATTCTTGAGACATATTGACTCATGTCACTCTTATGTCGTCTCAACACGACCCTATTTTCATTGTGACCCCCCCTCCTCCCCTTTTCACATCTATTGCCGATTGTTTTTCCTCCTTACTGGATCCACTGACAGCTATTTCAAGTAGCTTACTTCTATTTGTCCTGTTAGCAGCTGGGGATAATTGGATTGCTCTCCATAAACAGTCAGAAGCAGAATGAATGGCGTGGCATATCAAGATATTCACAGCTCCTTTTCTTATGAAACTCAACAAAGCTTAATGAAGGCAGAATTCATTACTACGATTCCCACCACACGCCAAATGGAGTTAAGTAAATAAAGAGAGGAACATCAGATGAATACACCTCCACTGTGCGCACACTGACACACTTGTGTTACTATCAGAGAACCATTAGGCTGTGCAGGGCTGACGCTCTCACTCTGCCATTCGAGTGGTTTCTTGCTGCTGAGGATCAACAGCTCATCTGAGGAATCAGTGCCCAGCTGCTAAAATCATCTTGCGAATATATTTCTCTCATGGAGACGTCGATTCCCTTCACATCCGCAATATATTTCCCATTCAGCTGGAGTTTAAAGTGAGCTCTATCATAATGTGACCTGCTTGTTAAGCTTTGTTGGTGCACTGATTCTGATAACATTTCTTAGGGTTTTGATTTGTTTTACAACAGAATTAAGTTGTAAGAGAGTAGGTAATCGTAGCTGTATTATGTTTTATTTGTCTTTCCTGTACCATCCAACGTAAAATAAAAATATTTTACATCCAACAGGGCTTTGATTACTGGGTTTATGTGTTTAAACCAAACTCATTTTGTTGTCACACAAGCCATAAAAAAAGGTTGAAGTTAAACGGCATTTGAAACACGAGCGGTTAAAGGTGGGGTAGGTAAGTTTGAGAAACCGGCTCGAGATACACTTTTTGTTATATTCCATGGAATGCTCTTAACATCCCGATAGCAATGAATATTTTAAGTGCTTTGACAAAAAATCCATAAAAAAAATGTCATCTGTGGAAGCCGTAATACTGTAAAAAGCACGACCAATCATTTTAGCTGGCCCGGCTAAAATAACTGGATGGCCTACCTGCCTGTCAGCCTTCCATCTGTGCACAAACTTATCTCGTGCCCTCATTGGTCATGTGCACGTTCGTGTGTGTTGGAGGAGGGGCTCTGGAAGGAAGTGGCAGATTTTCTCCGGTTGTGTATTTTCAAATTCTAGCGCACTCGAGCCGGTTTCTCAAACTTACCAACCCCACCTTTAAACAAGAATTATTCGGAACAAATAAAATATTCAAATAAGAAACTGTTAAAACAATATACAAATTGTTTCCAACCAGACATATGTACAATACTGTTTTGGCACATTTGGGTACGCACAAGAATATATGTTGGTAGCAGGGCTGCACAATTTGGAAGAAATACGATTATTTTTGACTGATATTGCAATTGCAATATGATCCAAAATATTGGAAATCAGTTTTACATCATTATTCTCATTCTCATTGATATGATAAGGTGTGATTCTCTTCAGGAGGATCTATACCAAACATAGATTTCTGTGGAAGTCTGCAGTAAACATCTTGTAGGTCGGGATGTCTCTGCAGCACCACAAGGTTATTATTTAAAAAATAATATGAACACAAATATTACGCCTACTGTGATTAGAATATTGCACTAACCCATTTTGTGATAAAATGTCAATGAATTGTGTTGCCTAGTTGTACGGTTTGATTCCCAGCCCTTCGTTTTAAAGAGACAGTGCGCTTCCTGGCTGACACGATAGCAACATGCTACTTGGATACTGTTTATTGCATTAAGACTTACAGTATGTTATACTTGACGTGTCATGTTTTGACAGAGGATTGAGGAAGTCCCCCACATCCATCCATCTTTGATAGCTAATTATCACCAAGGTTATTATCCCTGGCTCTACCGTACATATATTCAATGTATACTAAATGTCACAGTGAAGAAAGTGGAAGAATATGGGAAAATCCATAATCAATCACTGAGCAGTGGTAAATCAGTCTAGCACTAACACACTGTCTCTCCATGGACCGCTTTTTAAATGGGTGCTTGCCATTATGTTTCAACCATTGATTCAATAAGGGGCTCATAATGAAGATGTATGGGAACTGCAGAACCATTTATCCAATACATCAGACTGTGTAATTTATGCTTCAATCTTCATTGTAGCACTCTCAACAAGAAAGCCTGTCAGTCTGCAGAGGATGGGAGCCTGAGGGAACGGCACCGCTCATTATTTAGTCTGGAAATGGAACTCCCAATCAAAGGTATCCCAACCACTCGCTCCACTGTTTGTTAAACTGTGTATTCTGATAGGGAATTGCATGTTTGTCAGTTAAGCTGTTCTCAGACAATAGAAAGCAAATACGATGGGTTCCTCAAATTTGGAGGCCGACTGACCGTAATTGTGAAGCCTGGTACCAGCAGCAGTCAATAGGGGTGATTATTAAAGGGGCCCTTTTATGCTTTTAGGGGTATTCAACTTCCTGTAATGTGTTGTGCTTTTGTGCATGTAAATGGTCTGCAAAGGCTAAATCCCAAAGTGCCATCTGGAGGGAGTTTCTCCAATAAATGGTGTGTATCTATTCGTAAAATGCCTCAGAATCTTTTTTGGGAGATGGCAAGACTAAAATCCAACAAACACATTTACTAACTTCAAACATAAACCTTTTATTTATATATCCAAGTCTTTCAAGTGTTCTTGGAGATTTCTTTTTTACTGCACCTTGAGAGAAAGATCAATGTAAATTATGTGAGGTCATTTTAACAATTCAAACATTAGACTTTATACATATTTTGATATAAAAAGGACCTTTTTCTTGTTGGGAATCATTTAAGTAAGCCTCGGGTGACATCATTCACAAATGAACCGCTTTGAAGTCTGTATGAATTTTAAGGTGGTGCCTTTATGTGATTGGAGTGTAGACAAGAGGCAAATGTGTTTAAGACCAGTCTAAGAGTTTGATAGATGGTACTGAAATTGTTACATTTAAGTTTTCCTTTCAATCAACCTTCAGTATTGAAAGACAGCAGTTCCAGCTTCCAGCAGTCTCTTTGTGTTTTCCAGTATTATTTCTCCAAAAATAACTTCAAAGTGAAGAGATGGGCTTCTCTCAGCTCTGTCTCCTTGCTCTCTAAGAAGTTCATAAGCAAATCAGGTAGGCAACGAGAAGCCATGAACTGCCTATAAGAACAATAATGCTCTTCACTTGTGATACCACCTGGAGTGATTATACCTGATATGCATTTAATGCATCCACCGGGGAAAGAGAACATCTCAGCGCTGCAACACAATATCATTGACTCCTACTAATGGCGAAGATAAGGAATATGCTTTGGTAAACTAAGAGCTTATCTAGATGGCGTTTCTTAAGAAAGAATTGCTAATCCTCGTGCCAATATCCCACAGATATTGTGTAAATTATTCAGAGGATACTTACTGGTTTACAGAATGAATGGCTTTAATTGAACTGAAGATGCTTTCTCTAATGTCCTGCCTCAGGGTTCCTTTGGCCTTCAAGATCTCCACAAAGAACTGTGGAAAAAAACAAGAGAGCAGAGATACAATTATGTTATTTATCTGAGTGGATATGCCTTTGATTTTTTTTTTAATGAGGTGCAGACATCTCACTCTCCAAACTAAGCAAACAGATGAACAAAACACATACTAACTTAGAGGTTGGTTTGCCTTAAAGCTAAACCCATTATATGTTACCATTACACGGGACTCATCTGCATGGCTCATATGAAGCACAGTACAGAGGGATGTTGTTGTACATTAAGGCTCACAATACAGTGACAGCTGTGCCGGTCTCAAGTCATTTGAAGTGAAAATGGGATTAGCAAATTGAATGTGCATTAGGCCTAAAATGACTCCTAATTGGAGTGAACGGGTGGAGGGTGATTAATTGTGTAGAAATGAGGTCGCAGTGGTGGGAGGGGAAGTCTGTTCTCTCCACAGGGAGGACCACTTCCACCAATGCTACCTTTACTCTGTTAATGTGTTGTACAGAAAGTGCACTTCCACGTGTTTAATGTTGCGGTGGCCTCTGAGAATGTTAAGACATTTGTTTTTGTCTTTATTCGCTGTATATACTTTACTGTATATTTTCAGTGTGGAAAAAATATTTGGGTTGGTATACCCTAATTATGGAAATACATATTTTCGTTTAGCGAGAGTGCTCAGGGCAGTACAAATGACATATATTCAAATGTAAAAACTATTTATTAAAGGTAGGGTAGGTAAGTTTGAGAAACCGGCTCGAGATACACTTTTTGTTATATTCCATGGAATGCTCTTAACATCCCGATAGCAATGAATATCTTAATCTTTGACAAAAAAATCCATAAAAAAATGTAATCTGTGGAAGCCGTAATACTGTAAAAAGCACGACCAATCATTTTAGCCGGCCCGGCTAAAGTAACTGTATGGCCTACCTGCCTGTCAGCCTTCCATCTGTGCACAAACTTATCGTGCCCTCATTGGTCATGTGCGCGTTCGTGTGTGTTGGAGGAGGGGCTCTATAAGGAAGTGGCAGATTTTCTCCGGTTGTGTATTTTCAAATTCTAGCGATCTCGAGCCGGTTTCTCAAACTTACCTACCCTACCTTTAAATAGTCCTTTGTAACTAATCCATATTTTTTCCAATTTCCTCTTTAATTCTTGGGTTGTACCGTGCGTCATTATTGGTAGTTGCTTTGGATAAAAGTAAATAATGGTAATGTATTCATTTATATATTTCATCTTGCATGGAAAAACCTCCCTATCCTCAAACCCTGCTTAGTCTGCTGCCAACACATTCCTGCCCGCGATAAGGGGCAGAAAATAGTTGGATAAAAGTAAGATAATAGGTAATTTGGCTAAACTGGCCAAATTTTAGAAGAGGTAAACCTTGGTCAGATGTAACAGCAGTCGTAGCATGCTAATATATTTCTACATTTTACAAAAGAAGGAGTCATAGATTCATAGTAAGACTGCAGTGAGGGGATTCCTTTTATGATGCTTTGTCTGCCTCCATGACAACATGTCCAAAAGAGTGTTGATGCAGATGTTACTTCACAAAGATTTGATCTCAGACTTCCTAAACTCAACTAGGTACCTTTTTGTAGCCATCATAAATGTGATTTGTTTATCTTATAACATAGAAGGTAATGGAAATATCATGTGGAAGAGGACAGGAGATCTAAGGGAGGGACAGAAAAGGAAAAAGAAGAGAGGATCCAAGGAGAGAAGAGGTCAGGCAAATAGCTTACAAACTCAGGAAGGAATTGGACCTAATCATTTATAAATCAAACTTAAATAAACCCATCATTGCTAAACGAGATGTTGGGTTTCTGTCACTGATACTTTAGATCAGGTGGCTCTGAGGGATCAGTACGTACGGTGGTGACCAGCTCCAGCTGCTGGCAGTAGCGTTGTTCCGTCTGCACCAACTCTTTGGCTGTTCGGCTGCGTTTGCGCTCCCAGCGGTCCCTCTGCTCCTGGATATCTGTTCCCCCGGGGGGGCCGACTGGACCAGGGGAGAAACTCATGGTGGTAGTGACGAGGAGGACACTGTAAAGACAGAGACACATTGATTTTCTCACAAGTAGTCAGTTTACAGGTGATAGCCAATCGGTTTAGAGACTGCATTTCGGCCAATGTGTTCCCCTTCCTCTGCCCGCTGATACCTGCAGTCAAACAAAGCACGCTCTAACATGATTGGTCAATACTATTTGGACTAAACAAACTACAAGTAGAGCGCTTTTAATACCAAAAAGATGTCCCTTCATATAGATACAAGAACAGGGGAGAGTAACAGTTCAAAATGAAAACCTTTTGTTATTTAATAAAATCCACACCCTAACCAGCAGGTAACTTATAGATATGATCATTTGGACATTGAAACAGTCTTTCTCTTTTCCTATTTGATGCTGTTTGACACTGCACACTAGTTGACTAAGCCAAACAATGTATGCCCTGCTTTACAAAAATAACTCACGTTAACATCATTAACATAGAAAAAACGGATGACTTGATAAAACATAGACATAAATGTTCATTTTAACCAGCTGTGGTAACCCCCCCCAGCCGACTTACAGCAGTGTAGAAGCAGTGTAGAAGCTTCTACCCCCCCATCCCCCATCCCCCCCTCATTAGTGTCATCTCCTCTGTATTAGCAGAGCGAGGAGTGGGCAGAGAGCAGAGCTTTAACAGCAATTAACCCCTGTTCTGTCCCAGAGGAGGATACACTGTAAACAAGAGGGCCTGATCAATGCTACCCAGGGTGCACCTCTCCCACGGGGAGACACTCACATGGTGAGCCTCGCTGTGACTGGAGGACGAGCGAAACTACAGAACCATCCAACAACACGTCTCTCCAGTTAACTATGAAGCTGTAGCCAGAGTCCAGAACTGCAAACGCCTCAGTGTAGAAATCATGTCCTCACTGTGACTCCATAGACTGACACAAGGACACTCAGCAGACACATCCTTATAAATGTGCATTTCAGCATTAAGAGCTTGTTAATAGTAATGCAGCACTGTATATAGTGTGATATGTGTTATATATTGATATACAATGTGCACATTTTTACTTTAACTTCTTATGTTTATGTGTTTATTATTATGTTTTATTTTCTTTGCTTTTGAATGTTTCTAATGTGTTCTATGCTCTTAAAGGTGGGTTAGGTAATTTTGGAGAAACCAGCTCGAGTGCGCTAGAATAACTTCTTATGTTTATATACATATTTTGTATCTACTTTATGTTATCTTATTGGACATTTTACTGTAGCTTCTTTGTTAATATAAACAAAATTCATTGCAGCTTTTAGCTACAACTTCTTATGTTTACAATATGAATATTTGTATTCCCATTTTTTTTTCTTTTATCTCGCATTTTATTACGGTATTAAAATGGATCAACTGTTTCTTTTTTTTCACTTTAAAATCCAGCACTGTCCCAGTGTCCCAAAATGTCCCAATTCCCCCCCCCCAGGATAAATAAAGTATCCTGTTCTGGTTGATTTCAATGAATTCTCTTTTGATTGTTATTTTATTTCGCACTGGTAAGACATCTTATACACTTTCTATTTTAACTTTTGTTGTTGTTGTGTTTTTGTAATTAACCTTGCTTAGATTAGGGATTTTTTTGGACAACTGTGGATCAATGTAATTGTTTTTCCCTTCAAAGTTTAATTAAATCTAGCCAATAGACTTCACTCTGACATTCAGGTGAGAAGATCAACATGTTTTAAATGGATTATATGCGTTGTGTTGTCTTTTGTCGTAGCCTTTTTTTAATAACATTACTTCCGGAAAATCACCCCACAAATAAAATAGGCTACTTAAACAAACACTAGAAAGTTATTCTACTACCACTTGTTGCCAGTTATTGCATCTTTAAAAGAGGAATATACGGCTTGAAACATGCAAAGTAAAAAGATACAACACATTTGTTTCCTTTTTTGCAACGTCGATATCACTTTTTGACGAAAGTATGTTATCGCTTGAATCTGGGAAGAAGCATTATGAGCAACCAATGTATCACGTAAAACAAAACAATAACGTTATTTGTTACACTGAGGCTGCTTCGTGTTAGGAACAAACTGCTGTATATAACATTAAATGTCTTTACATGGTTTATATTATATACCGTATGTTAAAAAGTACGGCCTTACCTTGAGGTAACGTCTCCACTTTCAACCAGGGCGCTCTTTTTGGTTCGAGCTTCTCTTTTCCGGGTTGCGATGTTGACGTGAGCTCTGATTGGCTGCTCCACATCGGGACAATGACAGGAAATACCTCCCAGCAGCTCCACTCTGAACTTCCTTTCCTTTTTTTATTCAAGACAAATATGAACTTCACACCAGGAGAACACGGCCATTCTACCGAATTGATGCAAAGTCAGGTTGGAATAGTTTTGAAATTGTGTATGTTTTTTTCCCAAAACTTTGTCCATATACATTTTGTACCATATCTAAATTACACATATCTAGTAAAAGAACCGTACATTTTTATATCGTATTTTCAGACTGTATTGGAATGTTCTTCCTCTACCAAGAATTGTCACTACCGAAACATAGTAGGCTACATACACTGTAGTAAAAAAGTATTATATTAACCTTTTAAGATTGTTTTACCTTCCCTTATCTAAATAGTATTTTAACAAATATTTCTTGAGGGTTTTCACAATTAAATCAATGCAATTTAATTTGTAACCAAATTTCAAAGATCAATTTATACAATTCATAAAAATCACAATGCAATTTTTCTTTGTAAAATGCATAATACTGATCATATTGATTCCAGAGTTGATGATTGTTGAAATTGAACATACATTAAACCAATTAGTATCATATAATTTTAGTTGATAAGTCAATATACTTAAAGGTAGGGTAGGTAAGTTTGAGAAACCGGCTCGAGATACACATTTTGTTATATTCCATGGAATGCTCTTAACATCCCGATAGCAATGAATATCTTAAGTGCTTTGACAAAAAATCCATGAAAAAATGTCATCTGTGGAAGCCGTAATACTGTAAAAAGTACGACCAATCATCTGAGCCGGCCCGGCTAAAATAACTGGATGGCCTACCTGCCTGTTAGCCTTCCATCTGTGCACAAACTTATCTCGTGCCCTCATTGGTCATGTGCGCGTTCGTGTGTGTTGGAGGAAGGGCTCTATAAGGAAGTGGCAGATTTTCTCCGGTTGTGTATTTTCAAATTCTAGCGATCTCGAGCCGGTTTCTCAAACTTACCTACCCTACCTTTAATATTTTACAAAACATCCAGTGTTTCGGTAGTGACCACAGTTTTCCAAAGGGAGTCTTCTTATAGATTTCAAATTTTCCAATAAATAACCGAAATAACCCTACAAAAGAAATAAATGTTTTTCTATTCCATTACCAAGCTCCACTATGAATTATAACATTCTCACATATAATGAGTAACGGATAATTGGATCTATTTTTAACAAGAATTTAAAGATTTGTGGACAAAAAAATATTGAAGTTTTTGTGTAGAAGTAGTCTATGTAAAGTACAATTTAAAAAAAAAAAGTATCTTTACGTCTTTCAAACATAAACACATAAATAAATGCTTTAAGAATAAATACAAATGGTATATTACCTACCGGAAAATAACATCGTCAGTCATAACTAAACATAGCTTAAAAGTATTAAGTAATATGATTGCTTTGTGTAACTGTTTGGTTTTATCTGTTTTTCTTCACCCTTCTCAGGACAAATTATTCTCAAACTTTCATTGGATTTCCCTTTGTAAGTGTGTACAGTTATCTTTCTATTTAAAGATACATGTGAACTGGCAACAAGTGGTACTGTAGATGGTGAATTGGCTGATATGAGAGTGGCTCGTGAAGAAAGCGCAGCTCAGCAGTTTGCTGCTCATTATGAGATAAAAGTGATGCCCTCAGTAATCAGGCCATGACGCAGGAGGCTATAGAATGAAATCCATGAGGAGGACTTTCAAGGTAGAGAAATAGGATGCATTTTCCTCGAGCTGTAGTTCATATTGCCTGCAGTTCCACAGAGCAGCGAGAACACTGACATCTAGTGCCGGTAGAGGCCAAGTCCTGCTGTAAGTCAGTGGATATCCTGGTATGTCAGGAGTCGTACGTTGTTTCCAGCTACGTATTACAACAATATTGTTAAACCAGTTGATCAGTACATTTTAAAGCTGGTAACTTAATTAAATTCACATCTAGTTTTAGTTCGACTGGTAATTACAAAAACATCTGTCTCTTTTTTTCTGGCTAAGGAACAATCAGGGGTTTACCTTTGTTATATAACGTTCTACTTTTCAAAGTTTTTTATAAATGTGTTTCTTCTCTTTAACTTATTATAAGACTAGAAGTACAAAGTGTAAAGTACGACACGAATACATGATCCAAATATCCACAAATAGCCCGCTACTGTACTTAAGTACGATTGTATTTTTTTCTATTTTCAGCAACTTTACTACTCCAGCACTATTCAGAATAAACAATTTTACCATTTCCACTAATACAATTCTGGTTACTATACAAATTATAATTAACAAACAAATGAAGCAATAAGTAAATAATTTAAATCATCCTCGCATTCAAACGATTTAAGATTCAAGGCTTTATTGTCATGTGCACATTAGCTAAAGTGTAGATAATGGCAATGAACAACTTAAGTCACAGGCTCCTCCAACAGTGCAACATGAATATAATAAGACATAAAACAAATGAAACAGATAAAATAGAGCAAGAGAATGTTTTGAGATGTGCTGAAACAAGTAATGCTTTTACATGAATGCATCATGGTCATGCAACATATATAATTTTTAACCGTGCATAATGAACACTTTTTAGTTTTGACAATTCATTTTGATGTTTAAACCTCCATAATTTATTTCAGGACTTTCTGGGACCCAGGATTTCCCATGTAAAAATGCAATTTGATCTGCCTTTCATCTTCATTCAGATGAGAGTATGTTGAGTCAGATGTCATGACTTATGATTGTAGTTTGTATTTGTTGTTATGTTAAAAAGCACTTCCCTTTCAGGTGTTGCTCTTGCTCAGGTGATTTGTTTCCACATGTGCCTTTTCTGTAGGGGGCTTAAAGCAGAAGTGAAGTCCTCCCTGCAGCTCTCTGCACAACAGGAACAGGACGTCCATGTTCTGCAGGTAATGTGGCCGAATGTAAAGAGAGTAAGGCAAAACTCTGCATATTGCTGAACAGATTAAATGCATTTTTAATGAGAGGATTATTAAAATGCATGATATTGGTAGGCTCACTCTTTATTGTTTTCAATTTGATTGTGTTTCCAGTACATTTGGTATTATAATAATTGGCCCCAAAACAGACCGGTGCAAATTAGGTCTCTTTTGCCTTCAGGCTATGAAGGCATGAACGGTACAGGAGACCACAGACAAAGGGTCCATTTTTTTTTTTAACCTGAGGATAGAAAGAAGAAAAAGTAAAAGCGTCAATAATCTACACAAGTGGAGGATCTCTCCCAAGGTTCTGGAGCCCTTCGGTGTATTATTCATACGAGCTATTGCCAGAGGACTCATAATTGACCTCTGCACTTTGTAGAAAAAACTTCATGAGATGAAAGAATGTGATGTTTTGTAATTCAACTTTTGAGTCCCCCTTTCCCCAATCCAATTTTATTGAATTGCAACTCATGAATTATTCAATGCATAGGAGGCAAGGCTACCTTTGCTGGAAGATGTTATATGAAACAAGGTTGCAAGACCAAGAGATTTCAAATGAGTCGGCTCTCAAAGAAAAATAAAACCCAACAACAAATAAAACTTACGTCAAAATAAATAGGAGCACTGTTGGACAGAAATCTCTTAAGTGAATACAGGGAAGATATTACTGTCAAATAACATTTTTTTCGCAGTATGCTGGCACTTGATGTGAAAAAATCTCTTAAGTGTTTATTGATGTGGAATCCCATTATCTACCTCTGCTGAAGGAGGGCAAAGGCTTCATTTATGTTTTAATGCTTTAGTGCCAGCTCTTCACTTAACTGCAGAGTTGTAATTAACAATGTTTTTGTCAAATGGTAATCATTGCATCAAGTGTTGATACTTGAGCAATTCCTCTGGGTTTCTGACAAGTACATCATTGTATCAGTTAGTCTTAAGTAATACAAACTGTAGTGTCGGGGGATTTTCTGCAATTGTACAAGAACTCTAAGTCTCAGTTGTCATGAGAAGACTCAGAAAGTATCTGAATAACTGTAAGTAAAGTCTTATCTCCCACAAACCATTTAGAGATTTAGTCGACCCATTTGTGAATCTGGTGTTAAAGAATAAAGCATTCTTTTTGAACACACAAACATGTAAAGAGAACAAATATAAAGTACATGTTCTTTTGGCGTTGTTCATAAGCAATTAGCAGTAATTGCCTATTGTCTACCATTGGTTAACACTCTCAATCAGCCTCTAGAACTTTGCACTCCACACCCCACTGCTGCTTTGTGTTTTGTACAACGGTGAGCTCATTAAAGGAAAATGACCATTTGGCCTTGGGAGAGGGGGAAAAAGAAAATCACATGGAAACAAACAGCTGTACAAAATTGAGTGACACTCGAGAAGTGGAGGGCCATCAAAACAGCCATGTGTTTGCAAAACCCAGCGGTTTTCATAGATAATGATAAACTGTCATGCCAATTACTGAAAGCACTGGATGGCAGGATTTTTTTATGTGTGTCAATGAGGTCTGCTTATAATTGACGGTCAGGGACGCTAACTCACTCAAAAGCTCTCGCTCAAGCATCAAACGGTAAAATGGGCCTGTATTGAATTGTCAGACAGACAAGGTCTAGGGGCTAGGGAAAAGGCTCCAGGATATCACAGCACACTATTGGGCCATGTTTGTACTCTGTTCCTTTTAAATCAGTATCAAAAAACTGCACCAAAGTGCTGAAATTTGGTCCAAGAGCTGAAAAAAAACATCAACAGATTCTGAAAGACCTTACAGGATGTTACATAGCTGCAACCTACTAATGTCTTATAATTGTATTGCATTGGAGCTCAACCGGTGGGACTCATGGGACCTTATTTCGGAAAAATTATGTATTGAAGTCAATGGAGAGAGAAAGATTATCTTTCGATCCCGTTTGAATTGTGCCACGAATTACACATATGATGTTTGTCAATTTAAAAGATAATTTTACAAGTAAAAAAAATAAAATAAAAAGTAACACTTTTTTGTGTGTGAACCGCTCAATGACCTACATCTCCCGTCTCGCACCACACACCAAGACGGCCGTCACGTTGGCACAT